GTTCCGGTCGACGAGCAACGTCGCGTTAAGCTCAGTCGAACGTCACGAGTGACGTTAACAAGATGCAATTGGTACACGAGCCGATTTATCAGAGCGATCCCATCGATACGAGCCGCCCGTCGTCCGGCGAGAAAAACACATCGCTACGAGAGCCCACGGCTGAGTGAATATTTTTATTCCTCGCTTCTCGCTGTTGTAGAAACACGTTCGCGGGCACCCGATATGAACGCCCTGCAAAACGGTGTCACCGTCGCCGTTGGGGTCGTAGAGATGCGAGTTGTTCCGCGAGTAGGCGGGGATTATTAATGACCATGAGCCGCTTTATCTTTTCCACTTCCTGTTCGGGATACATAATACGTGGGCCTCCTCGCGCAGTCGTTGCATCGCACCGCGCGCCATATCGTGCGTACGACTTTGGGGGGAGGGTGGGGGAGGGGGAGGGAGCGCGTATACCACCGCCTCTCGCGTTCCCGTAAACTACGGGCGCACCGGGCTCGCGAATTTATCATCGCGGAATCGCGTCCGCATCGCGTCGGAGAATTACTGGAACGAACGATTAATCGTCATTATCGCCGTGATCAACGTGAACGCGCGGGAAAACTCGGTCGTCCGTGGCGGAACGTCGTCGCGGCCGCGCGGTCGCGCACAATTTCAACATCACGGGCCACGGACGACTGTAACCGGGACTGTGCACCGGGAATAATCCTATTGCCATGGGATTTAACACTAGGTTTTTACTGTCTTCTGTTACTAGGACGGATTTTCACCCATAACTTTTTTTTTATTTTCTTTTTTGAATGTACGCGAACTGTAAATATTTAGCGGAAATTTGTAGCGCAACGTGCAAAACAGTCTTAAATCGTATACAATTTTTTAAAGGGAAAATAACCTTTTATTGTAAAAGAAACTTCTTTTATCTGAACATAAATGGTCCAAGATATCAGGATTGGGAAGTAACTCGTTACTTTTAACTAAATTACAGTTACAGTTTTCTTTTTTGGTAACTACAACTTAACTTCGTTCCGTTTTTTCATCTATAACTGTAACTTAATTTAGTTACATTTGTTTGATAACTAGTAACTAATTAAATAGTTACTTTAATAATTATTTTATATATTAGTTTATAATTACTTAATAATAATTACTTTATATATTTCAAATTTAAGTTTCTGACAGACCAACACGATAACGCGTGTAATATTTGATATCGTAATTGATATCTTGGACCATTTTTGTTCAGATAAAAGAAGTTTCTTTTACAATAAAAGGTTATTTTTCCTTTAAAAAATTGTGTACGATTTAACACTGTTTCGCACGTTGCGCTACAAATTTCCGCTAAATATTTATAGTTCGCGTACATTCAAAAAAGAAAATAAAAAAAAGTTATGGGTGAAAATCCGTCCTAGTAACAGGAGACAGTAAAAAGCAATAAGCGTACAGTTATTCTGGCTGCATTTGAAAAACGCGCTATTGCGTCATCTATCTTTATCGTTCATTAAATATAAACCAAGGATAAAATGATGTAATAGCGCTGATAATCTCTTCTCCGAACGCAACCTGTATTTCTTTCAAAAAAATTGTACGCCTATTGGGCATTTCCGTCGCGCGTTGCTAGTTCTTATTTGATAACATAACTTATGTTCAGCGTGAAGTGCGCTGCGTAATTTCAGTTATATAAAAAATATAAGCAATAGATAAAACATCTCAATCTTCGGAGAATTCGGAGAGAAGAATTGTAAAATGACATGGCTAGCATATGCAGAAATATTCGAATTACAGCAAAAATTTGAAAATAAAAACAACTGGACATTCCTCTGAAAAATTTGCTCTGGCAAAAATATTATTCATGCAAGTAGAACTTCAATTGCAAATTTAAGAAAACATATGAATGTCTTTTATAAAATATCAATATATTTTTTAGCGAAAAAATCTAATTCTTAATGTTAAGATTATTTTTAGTATTTTTAGTATCCTTATCAAATTCATTCACTTTCTTATAATTGTTATTAATAGTCTTAAAGAATAAATATGAATTGTTTATTTAAATTAATGAATCTAATTTGCAAAAATTACATACAATATGAGGAATATACGTGTATATAATAATCAACAAACTATTTTTATATTAGATTGAAGGAACACAATTACGAAATTTAAAATAATAACACAATTATTATAAAAAAGTAACTGGAAAGTAGACTCATTACTTTCTAAATAACTATAACCGTAACGTGTTATTTTTGAAGATCAGTAACTTATAACTGTAACTAGTTACTTTTTCAGTGAAAAAAACTGTAACTATAACTCAATACTTTTACAAAATAACTTTCCCAATCTTGCAAGATATTTATAAACATTATAAATCCTAGCAAGATACCACTATGTAGTGCGCTATCTAGTGGCAACAGGTAAAAAGTATCATCGGATGAATTCCATCCGTTCCAGTGTTTAAAGTGTTTAAAGTGTTTAAAGGGTTAAATAAAGCGGTACTTACACCGGCGTAGAGTGTAAAGAAGGGATCTTGACACAAAGTGCGGAAGTATGCTTTGCAAGCAAGTGGCGCAATTAATTAAACACTGCTGATGGACATTTAATTTGCGCGACAAGGAAGTATATCGAGAGCTTATTACACGTCGGTTTAAGAGAGAGGAGACTCTTCGGCGATCTTTTACTCGCGAGATTAAGAAGCACGTAGAAATGCGATCGGCGCGATCCTTTATGCAACATTCCAAAGACACCCCTCCCTCCCTCCCGCGCCCCACCCCTTCGTCAAATCGCCGACAGGTCGGACGAGGAGTAGGTTGGGACCCTCGCGTGCGAGCTCCCGAGGGGTAGATTCAGATTTCCGATATTATTTGCTTTGTACCGCGCTACAAGCGGGAGATGGAGGGGAGGGGGAGGGGGAGGGGAGAAAGAGGAACTGTGCAAATCCTCGGGAATAAGAGACGAACACCAGCGGAGGGACACGGGGTCTCGTCTCCCCCTCTTGAAAATCGCCTCGTCTATAATAAGCTCAAACGATTGCCCCGCGAAATTGCTTTTCTTCAAACAGAGGCGTTTGATGTCGCGCGCGCGCGCGGCGTTTCCTTTTTGACGGATGGTAATCGCGCGCGTGCCCGGCGAAAGCGCGGCGAGCTCCGTTGAACGCCATTGCGAGGCTTTGCCGGCGGTAGCTTTCTCGGATCGCCGGCGCTTTGTATTCCGTATTCATGGCGAAATGGGCGACACGAAAATTTCTTCCGCACATAGGGCATAGACGATTATAGCGCATAAAGAATAATTCTATTACCGTGGCATTAAATAGCGCGGCATTAACATCGCTTTGTGGGCACAACGGCGTTCACAAAAGCGCTTCGCGAGGAGCGCTTTATGATTCGATAAACATAATCCTCGAGCAATATATGGATGGACCGGCAAAGTGTGCGAATAATTCTCGCGCAAGTATTTCGGCAATTAATCGATGCCGTTGATTAACTCACTACGACGAGATTACGCTTAACCCTTTAAGGACCGAGCCAAATCCATGAAAAGGAAAAAATCCTGAAGTCCCAAAAATTTAAATCCGTCATATTTCGCTGAAAATCTGTACATGAGGGGTTTTAGTGATGCTGAATACGAATTTCATGTTAAATTCCCGAAATTCAAGATAGCAAATCCAATATGGCGGATCGATCATGATAATTCCCGTATTTTCGAGAAGAACAAATTCACTCAAACTCCACGTTCAGGTTTTCTAAGTGCCGACTGCAAATTATTCGCAAATAGCATCCGAAAACAAGTTCGAAATATATGTAAAAATTGCAAGATCGCATTAAATAAAGATACATGTTTCGATAAGTACCATGAACTGTAGAAAAATATTAGAAAAATTCGATAATTGAACAGGAGAGAAAAAAGACGAGGAAATGAGAAAGGAGATGATAAAAGACATTGAAGAATGAAAAATAACGAAAAAATTAGGAAAAAGGAAAAAAAATGAAAATGATGAAAGAATGAAAAAAACAAAAAATTAAAAAAGGCACGAAAAAAATAAAAAACAAAAAAACGAAAAAGTGGGATGTTAAATCTAATTGTCAATCTCCTCGAATCCACTCGAAAATACTTGTGAGAGATGCATCCTGGGGAATACATTTTCGACAAATGTATTCGCGAATGTCAAGGGTAAGAATTTTTTGTATATATATAATCCGTTATACTAGATTCACCAGCGTCAATTTCTGAATTATAATGGAACATTCATATTCAGCACCCCTGAAAATCTCTATAAAAGTAATAGCAAGGTCATACATATACTCGTATTCTTTCGGAAAACCCTGTGTTGCTACAGTATTGACTCCGCATTGATTTAGCCATTCTGAATTTCGAAAATCTGATGCCAAATTCATATTCAGCAACCCAAAAAACATAAGGTCTCGCCAGAACTCTTTTTTTTTCAGATTTTTTCAGCCTCTAGACAGTCATATATGTTTCACGCAAAGATTCAAGAAAATCGGGAAAAGACCGTTTTCCGAGTGGCTATATTTCGTTTATGATGCAGAAAATGGAAAAACTGGCTGCATCATCGTGTTCATCGAGCTTGAAAACATCTAGTAACTCTTTGTCATTATTTAGAACACGCCTGGACTTCAGCATAGTAAAATATTTCATGGCAAAGGTTCGCCTTTTCTCGGTCCTTTGGGCAATTCCTAAATGACAAAGATCTTTGTCATCGGTCCTTAAAGAGTTAAGCATCGAAATATTGTGTACAAATATGTCCAGTTTATAAAACTTCTCGCCAGTAAAAATGATGAGATGTCCCATACAACACAGAAGTTGCAGCAAGATTGCTACAATGCTTAAACAATGTTGCAATGTTGCAGAAACGTTGCAGCAACGTTTTATCAACTTTGTGTGCTGTATGGGGTGAAATGAAAATAATTTTTGCGCATTGTTAAGTACTTTGCACTCACGCTATGGAGTATGACTTTGCGTAAACTTTTACCTTGTTGCTTTGCTTGCAGCTCCCATACATCCTGGACACTCCATGGGTCAGCCATCCGGCACCGATAGATTTTCCACAGGAATGTCTGGTCCTGGATTTGTCGACGGGTAAATATATAACCTGTGACATAAAGACAAAATTACTTGGGAATTTTTTTTTTATGCTCATTACACACGATACGTATGTCTCCAAAGTTTCTTGAAAATGTCTAAAAGACATCTCTTATTTTATTTAGACATCTTTCAAACATGCGTGTTGTGCGTGGGAAGATACTATGGTAAAATATCATCGAGGAAATATAAAATATCCAAGTACGATAATGCAAATCAACTTGGAACAAAAATTTGCGCGCTAAATGTTTTTACGAATCGCATCCCCTCTCCCTCCATCACGTTATAACGGAAAACGATTTGTAATGCTAACGTGGGAGTGGCTCTCGTGTTTTTCAAAGATAGAATTTATCGTTTGTCTGGAAAAGTGCTTGTGTGCGATTGTAAAATGTTGCACAAGACATAATGACACCAATGCTTGGAATGATAACTACAAATTTTAATTTAGCCAGTATAAGCAAAAGTATAATTCGTATGATTTACCGGACATATAATACGTAATGAATCGAAGTCTAAGTCTATACAGTACAAGAAATTACCATGCCACAAATAGAATACTAGTAGAAAATCTACCTTAACCGAGAACTTTCCGAACGGTGAATCTCGTTGTCGAATGATCGTTATCGATGGTAGGCTTTATCCTGAATTCAATCATCCGTATTGCATTCATGGCGCCGCGTAGATCGAGACTCGTGGCGTCATCTGTCGTCGATGCACGTTGTTAACTGGTACCAATTCCTACCGGTATACAAGATGTCCCATTTCAAATGAGCCAGGCAAAAATCTCGAAAAATATGAAAGATACTAAGAAACGTTTCAGACAAAAGTTGTATGGTTTCAAAAAGGATATGAAACAACTATATCAGTTTGTTTACAGATGGCGCCACTTTCGAGATACTCACTGGTCATTACTTTTCTTAAATAAAAACCCCAATTTTTTATTATATCATCCGTTACTACTAGTTAATTTAAATAATTTTTGTCTGAAATATTTTTTTAATAGCCTAATATTTTTTTAGATATTTGCCTGGAGCATTTAAAATGGGCATCCTATATAGTTACACGATTATTTCGAAACTTTTATTCTCATTACGCAATAGTATAGCACTATCAATAAAATACAAGATATCTGAACACAATGGCTGCGTTCAGTAGAACAAAATTATCAGTGAGCGCTTAATGATTATTGTCTGTGATTGGAGCATTCTTTTAGATTTTTCATAGACCCAAAAGTATTTACCAATCAGGAGGGAGAATCACTAAGCGCTCACTGATCACTTTGTTCTGCTGAACGCAGCCAATGATGCAAATCTGTCTGAAGGAAAAATTTATTTCCCGATTAAGCTATTTTTAGGAATCGTATATCCTTCCCCGCCTTACATATCGTTTAACATGATTAAGAGCAACTATTGCAATGCTAAAGAGAGAATATAGTCGTTATGTTTTCTGAAAACAGAATCTACTTTTCACACGAAAGAATGCATACGCGATTACTAAAAGTTGTATGAAACATCATGAGATAATGGCCGACGCTTGAAACATCCCAGCAAACACAATATTACATGTTACATACCTGTTACTTGTAATTTCCTATTTAATTCCTATGTAATTCCTATGTAATTTCCTAACAATATAACTGTTGTATAACGCATGTGTTATATAACAGTTACATTATTGAGTAAGAAATTACAACTAACAGGTATATTACATGTTACATTGTGTTTGATGGGGTTAGCCGCAAGTTCAAATTGAGCCGACGTACGCAATATTCGTATGATTTACTGAGCGTCCGATGTGTTACAGCCAGGATTGAGAAAGTTACTTTTAAAAAGTAACTCGTTGCCGTTATCGTTACTTTCGATAAAAAGTAACTCGTTACTGTTACTCGTTACTGATCTTAAAAAAATGCTTTACCGTTACTTGAAAATAACGATATTTGATTTTCCGTTACTCTTTTTCTTATTGTAAATCCAGGATTATAAGAAAGGTGCTAAGACAAGATATAAATCGGACATAAGATGATTAGAAGTATATACATATATATTTAAATATTTTTATTATTTTATGTTATGGAGTGTTGTACTTAATGAAAAGTTTCTTAATTAGTGGATATGAATTTAATATTTGGACATTAGTGCCTGTTGATTTAAAAAATCTTTGCTATTCATCATAGGCAAATTCCTCATTTGATGTTTGCTGTTTGAAATTTAAAAAGTCATCGTTATCATCGTGCTTATCAGACATCAAAGAATTTTCAGCTGAAGGAATTCCTGATAAATCTTCTAAATATGTTTGCGCAAATTTTCGCTTATCTCCGGCTAACCAACTCAATTTGAATTTGGGGTGCAAACAGCTGGCAGTTATCAATTCTTCTTTTTCGAATGTAGTACAAAATCTAAAATTAAATCAATAAAATTAAATGTGAACATATTGATGTTTCTTTTTGATCAGATGAATGTTGTTTGATGAGCATATATTAATTCAAATTACACCAACTTATTTAAACATTTCTATATAGCTACGGCCAATGGATGACAATATGTGAGTCTATCTTTATCGGTATCTCACTTAATCCAGCATAAAACAAGAAATGCATAGAAATTAAATAAATTAAGTTTAATTTTATAAAAATTAAAAAGTAACGATTAAAGTAAACGGACGTTTCGTTACTTGTTACAAAAAAATGTATCGCCATTACTCTTTCGTTACTGACACAAAAAAGTAACGGCGTTACCTAATCGTTACTCAAAAAAGTAACGATACCAGTAACGGCGTTACAAGTAACGCGTTACTTCTCAACCCTGGTTACAGCTAAAATCTAATGCGATAACGCAAAGAATTATTATACAATAAATAGAATAATAATAAATAACCTACTTTACGAAACCGTGAATTCTCCGAACGATGGATCTCGTTGGCGCATTCTGCAATGTTCTGCAAAGTTTAGTGTCAACGTTCATGGCGCCAAACCGTCTTTTGTAAATCGCAACCGTTAGCGACATCTATCGGGAACCCGCGTGAGCGACTTCTGGCCTGGTGACTGTTTACGGCGCGTCTTGACGCCAATTTACAAACAGGTACCGGGTATGGTGTAGAGTGAGATGAGTGCGGTGTCTGTATGAGCTTCTAACCAAATGTTTTGACAGTTAATTTGTAAATTATGAAGCTACTCTTGTACCTAGTATTGTTACAGAATACGTGTATTTTTGTACGAGTCGTAAATAGTGCCGGAAACGTTAACGTGACGGATGCGAGGTAATGCGCTGTGCCGTCTTGTTCCCAAGTTATAATGGAATGATGTATTTTTTCTCTAGAAAACTCCGTTTCTCAGTCGCGTTCTCGATAGCATTGATAAGTGCCTGATAGCGCGATAACAATCGACATTTCCTCGTCGGCTTGTCGCGACGAGAAACTTTTATAACTCTGAAAATATTCGAGTTTTTCTGTATATTCGTCGAGGTTATGTTTTGAGATAGGCAGCATTCTTTTTACCATGAATCATCACATAAAAATGTCACGAATGATCGTTGCTACATCAGTTATCGGTATAATTTTATTGGAAAAATATTGAGAGTAAATTTGTATGAAGTTCAGGCAATGCCAAAAGCTTTTGAACAGAAATACAAATTGTTATTGCATTTTTGTGTCAATAAATTAGTGGTATGCAACATAACATTGTGTTTTCATGGCAGGAGTATGGGAAATGGAGACATGTTGGACATCTCAACAAATGGAATGTCTACACCTCATATCTCTCATCTGGCATCTGTAAATCCCTTCAGTATACTTTCACCAAGCCCACAACCAACTAGCTCACAGTCTAGCATGGATTTTAATACAATCGGCGGCCTTAGTAATGGCAATATGCAATTCCCTCCCAATGTGAATTTTGACGAGATATCAGGCATAAGTTCAATTCCAAGCAGAAAGGACAATCATAAAGGGACATGCGAGGTTTGTACACAACTGCATGGACCATATATAAATAAAAGTCTTTCTGATACAAAAGAGAATGTTTTTTATCAAGTTTTCAATTTTTCCAGGTGTACATAGGAAAAACATGTGCCCAATTTGTAGGAAATCAGTCGGTTTACATTATATACCCCATGACACAAAAAATGCTCGAGGAGAAATTAATGAAGGCGTTTCAAGTTATCAATTTCTCAAAGTATGTTATAAAATTATGAAATATATTTTCTAACGCATATAAATTAATATATGCAACTCCATGTTAGTATTAAACATGTATTAAATCAGTAGCAAAGTTTAAATAATTTTAATTGTTTCTTATTGCATAGTGAGCTATCTTCAAATTGCGAAGGATATGCGAAGCCGTCTCTTTGTTATTCCGCCTTCCCCATATGCCGCGACCAGTCTCACAATCAGAAGCCGAAAAACACTGAAGCGAGTACGCAGTTATTTAACCTTCTGAACTCCAAGCAAGATGATATCTTAGACGACGGGGATCGCGACGACACGGACGACTTCGCGCGACTGCACGGAATTCCCAAGAAGCGTAGCCCCACATTGGGCCCGGTTTTCGACTTCATGCCACCCAATGAGGATGGCAAATCAAGCAATAAGAAGATAATCAATCAGAGCTACGGGGACGCACGATCAGCAGCCGGTCGGAATGAGATCAATCGTAAATTACGTAGAATATGTCGAGAGGAGTGCGAAATGTTGGAGAATGAACTGTGCAGGAAGGAATATGCGATAGCGAAAAGGCATCCATTGATTGGGCATCAAGTGCCTTTGGTTGAATGCTCCGACTTGCCATTGGAGGGGTCGACAGAAGCACGCGATTGCTTAACGCTCGGGTTATCCGCAGCAAATAATGTACAAGAGAGTACGTATTAAACGTTACACATTGAAAAAATGATTAGGAGCAGAGTACACATTATGTTAGACTTTTTGTGTATTCCTTGCAGATGACTATTGCTACTGGGGCAGTGGGAAATCCTATCGAGGAACTATCAAAACGAGTGTCAGCGGAAGGCCGTGTTTACAATGGTCGCATCACTTCAATCTTCAGATTTCTGATTATCCCGAATTAGCCGGACGTCATTCTTACTGCCGGAATCCCGGCGGGAAAGAGTCTCAGCCGTGGTGTTATGTCGATGTCAATAAGAGAATGCAAAAAGAGTTTTGCAATATACCTAAATGCGGTAAGCTTGTAAAATATGCACGACATGTACCTCATTTATTTTCGCGCACATAGAAGACCTGACGAAAACACTACGTTTTTCTCTTGCTTTCAGTTGAAAATTTGTGGATTTACGCGGTCGTTGGGTTTGTAATAATGGGAGGTTTCGTTACCATATTAATATGTTATTGCTGCTGCTATAGAAGTAGAAAATCCAGACGACAGATGAATCATTTACCATCGAACAAGGTAAGCATATTGATACATTTGCGAATTACACGAGTATAATTTTGACGACGTTGAAAATAATACGATTGTCCTGATCTCGACAGATGTTAACTGGTATCCAGTGTGACAAGAACATATACGACGGCAGGAGAAGCACGACGCAACCTATGGAAATGAGTTCTCTTTTGGCAGGGCCTGGTAACACGACACCAGGCACTGGTACCCTTAGCAGTGGTAGTAGTAGAACTTCTAATAATAGGATACCCCAATTTACTACAAATAACGTTGTGCTCTTGCAAGAACTGGGCGAAGGTGCATTTGGTAAGTATAGAGTGCGATCGTACATATTTCAATTATAGATCAATATTCTTAGTTATAGTTATCGTCGTTGAAATTTGACGGACAATACGTGTATCATTGATGTCAATTTCACAAATGGTACAGGAAAAGTTTACAAGGGCGAGCTGCAGACAGGTAACAAGTGCGAGCCGCCCATTTACGTGGCAGTGAAAACACTGAAAGAAAACGCGACCCCGAAGACTCAGAGCGACTTCAGACGAGAAGTCGACCTCATGACGGACCTGAGGCATCCAAATATCATTTGTCTGCTTGGCGTGATACTGAAAGGCGAGCCGATGTGTATGCTCTTCGAGTACATGACTCAGGGAGATCTGCATGAATTTTTAATCTGTCATTCTCCGAGGTCGGATGTGCCGTTGAACAACAGCGGCGGAAAAATCCTAGAGCAGCCGGAATTCTTGCACATTGCGTTACAAATTGCATCAGGTAGGTGTCACATTGATTCATCTTATAACACGCTTGTGATTATATAGGGTGTCCCAGAACAATCTTGACAAAGCTCGTGAAGGCATTAGAACGGATTAAGGCGAACAAAATAGCCCCATACTGTTTTGCGACATTTGCAAATTAATTAATTATAGAAATTTGAAAAGTAACAGCATACCGAGATAGACGATTGGAGAAACATTGCAGCCATTTGGGCAAGAATGCGGTCCAGTCAATCTAGCAATCAGCAGCTGTTGCTGGCGCGCGCTGAGACGTAGGAGCGACGAAATAAGATGAGCGGATAGCCGAATAGCAATGCATTGTCCTTCCCCTCAGTTGGTGCCTCTGCTGGGCCACCCCAATCAACAGACAATATTTTTTTAACGTTTTTCAAATATTTATTTTACACTTTTTTATATTTCTTCCATTCATTGTACAAAAAATATTTATTTAACGTTTATTTAATGTATATTTTACATTAATTCTTCATTTAAAATAATGATGAAAAAGAAATATTTATTTAATATTTATTTAATGTTTATTTAATATTTACTTTATATTAATAAAACTCATTTAAAATTATTTTTACCGTTTAAAAAATTTTTTTTAATGTTTTGTTAATATTTTTAAAAACTTTAATATTTTTTTTCTGATTGGGGTGCTGTAACCCCAGTGGCTGGAATGCTCCTCCATTTCGACGCGCGCTCGCTCATCAGATTTTTATAATTAATAAGTCGGTCATTACTGCGAATATCGCAAAACAATGTGGGACTTTTTTGTTCATCATAATCCATTCTACGAACTCTATCAAAATTGTTCTGGGGCACCTTGTATAACTTTACTACACATATTATACATCGCATAATATATGTGATGGATTACACGTTAATGTACCTTTATTAAATATTATACATTACATGATATTTGCTTGATTATGTTATCATAACTTTATTACATGTAATTACATCTTTCGTAGGTATGGAATATTTGGCTAGCCACCATTACGTCCACCGCGATTTGGCAGCGCGAAATTGCCTAGTAGGTGATAACCTAACGGTCAAGATCTCCGACTTTGGTCTATCGCGAGACATATACAGCAGCGACTACTACAGGGTTCAGTCGAAGAGTCTGCTACCCGTTCGATGGATGCCACCCGAGTCGATTCTTTACGGCAAGTTCACCACTGAGTCGGACGTGTGGAGTTTCGGGGTTGTGCTTTGGGAAATTTACAGCTACGGTCTGCAGGTAAAAGCCGAATAATCATCGAACGAAATAAGTCGAAGAGCAATAACTTGTTTCTTGAAAATTGTTTACACTTCCATTTATATATTGTGTGTATTTCAGCCGTATTACGGATACAACAATCAGGAAGTTATCGACATGATTCGCTCACGACAGCTGTTGCCGTGTCCCGAGGACTGTCCTACGATGATCTATAGCTTGATGATTGAGTGTTGGCACGAAGTGGCGAATCGTAGGCCTCAGTTCCCGGAAATCCATCACCGTCTACACAATTGGTACATAAATCAAACGTACTTGAGCGATTTCTGCAACGAGTCGATCACCAGTTACTCCGGCAGTAGTCACAAGAGCACGAACAAGACCAACTCAACGCAGCTGTCGGCACCCATATACAAGAACGATCAGAAAACGGGTTCGGAGCCACCGGCAGTCTGCAATCTAAACGACCACAACAATGCGATGAAGTTGCTACCGCCGCCGACGACCTTTTCAAACTCTAACTGCATCGAGCAGAGGTCAAACTGTATTTTCAATGAGCATGGAGCGCCGATGACGACAGCCAATTATCAGAATCCCGTTACGAATGTCAATCTGAACGACGTCTACGATGACAAGCAATGTTGTTCGCCCAAATTGAGCGGCGCGAAGAAGGTCTTACCTGCGGTGCCTCAGGTGGGCTGCGGCAAGCAACCGAACAATGGCAGACCGATGCAAAACGGCGCACAGTTGGTCGTCAGGTTACCAGACCCCAGCAAAGTCACGACCGAAACCAGGGTATCGAAGTGAGCACGCTCGGGAACACGCGACATGTCGCGCGTCTGTTGCGACTGATTCATTATTTGAGCATCGATAACAGCGTATGCGCGCGTCCGCGCGCTACTAATGACATTTCTCGGTGCGAACGGTATTTCGTGCTTGCTTATAGCGATATTTGTCGACAAATTATAAACTATCGGAAAGCGACTGTTTACGCAGCAAGTTGGATACGATTCACACTTGTTCGAAGTGTATCGGACTGTGGAATCATATCGACTTGTCGTCATTGTTACTTTGCTCGCTCTTTTTTTTTTTTTCCTAATAACTATGATACTGACAAATGTCATTTGATGCACTACGGTGCATTGTTTACACGATAGACACAGTAAAACAATCAATCACTGCCATATATGTGTATCTTCGCGCTATCATACTTTCAGAACGAACAGTATAGATACAGAGAGCTACAACACTAATCACTGCCATATACGTGCATTTATTTATTTTTACAAATATACATGCATATTTTATATTGCCTTTTACTTTGTATATGTGTAATGTCTTACTACGCAATACGGTAGCTTGATATATACATACGCAGGACGTAAAATGTCGTGCCCCGATATGATTCCATTCGCAATTTTACCCACAGACGACGAGAGGAGAGGAAATTTTTAAGATATATTTATATCTTTCTATTTTTACGAGAAAATCGAGATATTTATGGGAATGAATTATTTATGCGTTTATCCGTAAGTCATGCAAGAAGCAACAGATAATTAGTGAGTCGTTATCGCTTCTATCCCGCAAAGAAAAATACAAGTATAAAAAATGGATTTGCAGAATACATTATCGACAGGCGTTGATATTTACACTAAAACCAATGTTTAATCATGCATGCTCTGTCCAAAGAGTGTAATATTGTATGGAATATTGTTATGCTCTATATAAGGCATACCTTATGTGAAACATGTTTTTGAATAATCTTTACACAACTGTTCAAAAAGATTTGTATGCGAGTACATGCGATCGCATATATATTGTAATAAGCAGAAGTGAGAGAATGAGATTGTGAGATAGAGAGAGAGAGAGAGAGAGAGAGAGAGAGAGAGAGAGAGAGAGAGAGAGAGAGAGAGAGAAAGAGAGAAAGAGAGAAAGAAAGGGAAACAAACGTATGCGTGTATATGGATGTATGTGTGAATTTTATGAGTGTGCGTTAAGATGTTTTCTAAAAAGCAATTTTTATAATCGTCATATCGTATGCCAAAACCGGATAGTGAATATTGACTGTTAACAAAAAAAAAGAAGAAAGGTATCCAATTTGTACATTTTTACAATAATTGCATACGTATTTTTATCTGTAAATCACTTTGAGATCGCTCCTTAATTGAGAAACAAAAACGTAATTTATTGCTGCAAATGTATCATATATATATTCGTTGATCGGACTATATTTTTTATTTAAATGCAAACACTGAGCCGATATTCTTCTCAGTCTCTTCGTGGCTGTACAAAAGTTTGGGATTGCTATAACGGACAAACACTTTTCGTGACGGAATTCCATTTCCAAGTTGCAGTATATTGGACGTATTTTTACATCTTGTAAATCCTTTCACGCTCTTTTCGATACTCAACACAGCGTGATAAATAATACATCTAGGATTACAAACACGCTTTTTCTCGAGACTGAGGAAAATATTCAAGCGAAACGCGTGAGAATGGATTAATTTATTATAGTGCTCATGGCTTTCCTGTGTCACTGCGCATTGTAAGTATCCACAGATACTTAATATTAGCATATAATTATACACCGCTAACGTGAGTGAGATGAGATTCATCACGGCAGAACGGTCTCGAACGTTTGTTATTTTTCTCAGTCGCGTGCCCTCAAAAAAGTAATCCCCGACCTCGAAGACGCAAATGACTGAAATTCGATGCTGGTGAACGTTCGGCGATGTTAAGTAAGAGGAGCTGTCAGCGTTCGTGTGTAAATTATATGTTATTCGTGTATAGGACAGTACAGTAGTATGTACATCCTGACAGACGCTAAGATCCTGCTTGCATCGATTCTTCTGATCGTCTATCTGATCGTCCGACGACGAACTTTTGCGAAATCAATGCCTACTCTCGACCGAAGTAACGAATATTAGCGCTGAACGATTAAGCTAGTGGAGACGTAGAATTAACAAAAAAAGAAAAAAAGAAAAGAAAGAGAAAGCATCCGAAGGAAGACTGTATTATACTTTTTATAATTTTTTATTGACGAAGAAACATAAAGGGAGCGTTCCGTTCGCATGGACGTGGACATGTGAAAGAAAACAATAAGAAGACTGGATTTGATGAACTGACTTGGCCCGCGGATTTCTAACAGGCCATATCCGTTGCCTGGATGAAAGCGATGATCAGAGAGTGGCGTGAAAATGCTATTGATTTATAAAGATAAGACTTCTAGAACCGACAAACCTCCGAATCGAAATTTGTATCGATTGATAATCCTGACCGCCTCGAAGGTTTGCCACGGTGCACGAGACTTTAGACCTAAGTTAATTTATGTCGAGTAAACTTCAGCGAAAAATTATATACTTAAGAACTTTATATATTCAGTCAAGTATAATATACATTTCATGTTTTTCGTATAATGCAACTGATTATTTCTTACCCTTTTTAAGGATACGATGCGAATCTGGAGTGTAATTCACCGCAGGATCGTCATCGTTACCATTTTTTTTTTTTGTTCACGCAGGGGAAATCCATCATGGATACCCCCGCTCCCTTGGGGAGGGGCGGGGGTTATGTCGGACTCTTACCAACTAAAACCCCTGCGGGATGTCTAGGGGAACTGCTCCCGCATTCCCTCCCTAACCCCCCGGCCCCACGTCATCGTTACCATCTTCAGTGGAGTAGATTAGAAAAGCTTGAGTATTATTCACAAAGACAATATAAACAGCATATTTTATTATACGTGCTTCTTAATTATTTTTCCAATTTTATTTTTTAATTAATTATTATCTAATTTTATTCCATATGAATAATCCAAATTATTTATCTGTGTTATAGGTACTTATCTTTGAAACCTTAATTTAAGGGTGAGAAGAGCAAACACGTAATGGATGTGAACAATGGGAATGTATAACAATATGATTTTTATTATATAATCTTTACAATATAAGAAAACAAGTATCTCATTTTTCAGTACGAATTTCTTTGAATATTCATATAAAATTTATAAAGATGCGTATGTGAGATAAACTAAAGTTAAAGGATAAACTGAACTAAAATTAACTTTAAAATATAAAATAATTTTCTAAAAAAGATGAAGCAGATAAAAAGATATATCAAATCGAGACGCTTTCTATTAGAAACCAATATATACAGGGTGAGGCACTTAAAGTAGGCCACCTGAATAACTTTGAAAATATGCAAGATAAAAAAATGTTACATATAAAAGTTGTAACGTTTTTTTTTAATGTTGCATCACATAGCAGTACTAGTATAATCTTCAACAGGTCACCTTGAATTTTTTAAATAGAAATCCCCATTTTTTATTATATCATCTCTTTTTACCAATTAATTTGAACAACTTTCATCTGAAACATTTTTTTTATTTATCTAATATTTTGTTCAAAACTTGATAAGTTTTCCGATATTTGGCTTACGATATTTCGATAACTATTTGTCAGAAAAACAGTGATACAAGACTTTTTTACTTCTTTTGGTCTGAAGAATATGATATTACAATAGTACCCTAAATTTTGTTAACTTGACAACCTTTGGAAATTTCAAAATCATTACCAAGTTTCTCTTGAATGTCTCAAAAAAAATTGGGCAAATAAAAAAAGATTTCACGACAAAAGTTGTTCAAATTAATTTGTACAAGAGATGATATAATAAAAAATGGGAATTTCCATTTAAAAAATAAAAGATAACCTTGATGACGCTATTCAAGGTCATACTAGTATTGCTATGTGACGCGAACTTTTTTATTTAATATTTTTTTTATATCTTGCATATTTTCAGAATTATTCAGGTGGTCTGTTTTAGATGCCTTAATATATATTAATGTATTAATTGTATATATAGAAAGGAACACGAGGAAGCAGAGAGAGAGAGAGAGAGAAAGAGATAGAATTATACATGTTACCGCCAATGTGCGAAATTGAAGGCATTTTATAAAATGACTAAGAAATCTATAGAATGCCGGAAATGGGACGTCAAAGTATGAAACGTTTATTATTTCACATATTTCCTAAGCACTCTATGCAATGCTGAAAGGCAAACCGGCAAAGTATAGTATACACTTGCTAGTGACGTTCTTATTATCTGGCGAGACACGTGACTTTCGATCTTCAATCAGCTGTTATCAATCCACAGGAAGCGGCCAAGATTTCGTCTATGTACAAGGACAAGTGTCAAATACAAAGTGCTTTTGTATGAAAAAACAATGAAATGCAATTTAAAGTGCAATTCTAGTCTTTCTCGTTACAATGAGGAGGTCTCAATACTGGTTTCTTTCTCTTGTTTCTTTTTTTTTCTTTTGCAGGTTTCAAAAAGATTTGTAGATCAGCTTAACCCCTTTTTCTACAATATCGTGTAAGACACATGATATACCTTGCGGGCCAAACATAAGAAACACGAGTCAGCCTCGTAGTACGTATATCGGATCAAATATAAGAAGCACGAGTAAGACCCATCGTATATTTTACGGACCAAGAAACACAATAAAGACTTGTGGAAACACATAAGACATAGGAAACACAAGTAAGACTCGTGGTTTAATTTTTACGTGTTCTGGTCAATGCTCTGCGTCTGCGATTTGCGTTTCGTGACTTATTTCGCGATTTATATAGACTCGGCATTACAGATACAACTTTATCACCGACTTTGGCACGTGCTGTTGCGACTTAAATCATAGGGATTAATTCTCGAAGACCTTTATCGACAATCTCAAATTCTCTGACCGTAACGATCCACCGGATCTCCGCGCGTGCCTTTGTAAAATGAAATCAGAGCGCACTCAACTTACTGGAACATTTGCGAAAATTAATCCTATCCTCTTCTAATTTCTTTTTTTTGCGGTTTACGTTGTATAACGCAATAAATTGATTTGACATGAAGATTATCACCTTAAATTCTATATCGTGTATAAAAGCCTTCTGTTTCGCCGAGATATCGACAGTTAAGGGCAGTTAAGGGTCTGCAGGAGCCAGAGACAAATCCAGCGTTGACTTTGGAGGCTTCGTACGGCGAGATCCAAGATATACGGCAAGAAAATGCTTTCCAGGCTTTTGGGCAAGTGAGCAAATGTCGCAGCGACTTATGTGCAATACCATTTTACAAATTGACCTATTTTGTCTAGCTGACATTGTAAATCACCGCCAAATTATTATAGCATGTTCCTTATATTATTCTCCAGATCCCCACAAAGCCAGATATTGCAATCCGGCCGTCCAAAATTTATGAAAAATAAATGAAGCGTCCGCCGTACCAAGCATTGCAGCGAATCACTCGAAAAATTATTTTACGAGATGCAAAATTTCGCCTCGTTGACGAAAGGTATAATTACTAAACTATTACAGCATTTATAATATATAAATAAAGCATCAGCCGTATCAGGAGTTGCAGCGAGTCAGGTGGAATACCATTTTATAAGAAGCAATATTTTGCCTTGTTGACGTAATATATGACTATGAACTTATTATAGCATTTTCCTACAACTATTCCTGAGATCTCTACAGAGTTAGATTTTACAAACAGGCCGTCAACAATTTATTATACACAAATAAAGCGTCAGCTGTACCAAATATCGTAGCGAGTCAGGCGGAATACAATTTTACAAGAACAAATATATTGCCTCGTTGGCAATATATATAACCGCTAAATTATTATGGTATCTTCCTTGAACTATCCTCGAGAACCCTACAGAACCAGATTATGCAATCCAGCTGTCAAAAATTTATCATATATTAATAAAACGTCCGCTGTACCAAGCGTCGCTGTGAGTCACTCGAAATATCATTTTACGAAATATAATATAATATAATATAATTTCGTCTCTTTGATGATACGTATTATTACCAAATTGTTGCAACATCTTCTTCGTACTATTCCCGAGATCGGTACAAAGCCGGATTTTGCAATCCGGTCGTCAAAAATTTATGATATATAAATAAAGCATCCGTCGCACCAGGCGTTGGAGCGAATCAGTCGAAAAATCATTGTGCAGGAGGTGCAAAATTTCACCTCGTTGACGATATGTTTTACCGCCAAATTATTATAGCATCTTCTTTGAACTATCCTCGAGAAAACTACAGAACCAGATTTCGCAGTCAGGCTGTGAAAAATGTATCATGAACAAATAAAGATGTATGAAACGTCGGAGCGGATCACATACAATACCATTTTACAAAATGAGATATATTATTTCACTGATATAATATATCATCATTATATTGTTATAGCATATCTCTAAAATTTTCAGATGCAGTCAGAATAACTGTATGCTTATTGAATATCAAGCATCGCGCGTCGCTTTATAGTGCTAGTCTGCCAGAAATTTAAGTTTGAAATATATGAAGTAACTATTAAAGTAACTATTAAATTAGTTGGTAGTTATCAAACAAATGTAATTAAGTTAAGTTACAATTACAGATGGAAAAAACGGAATAAAGTTAAGTTATAGTTACCAAAAAAAATAACTCGTTACAAGTAACGAGTTACTTTCCAACCCTGGTATATAATCAGATCAGTACATTGATCATAAGTTGATTAACGTTTTTCACTCTTGACGAGAGAAGAGAAGGAAAAATATATCCGATAAGAATAGATCGAACAACTTAATCATGTCAAAAATAACAGTTTATTTTATTAGGACACACACGACGACGGACCGGAGTTCGTGGGTATCCGATTTTGCCAGGAATGCAATAATATGTTATACCCGAAAGAGAATAAAGAGAACAAGATATGCGGTAAATAACTCATTATAATCTCCCTTCCCTTCTCTCAAAGAAGAACAAGAAAGCGAATCAGTAATTCCGACTTGCAATATGATTTTAATGTGAGGGATTGTGTTTCAGTGCAGAAATTATGATTTTAAACAACTGGTTGACAGCAACTGCATGTTATCTATGTAAATAAGATCGTGCAAGAGATAGAGTAAATTGCGGGTAGTAAATTGAGAAATGAGTCAACATCTAATAAATATCATCGAATACTATGTAATGATTCTCTAGAGTTTGTACAATATATACAAGGAAGTCAAAACGCATCATTTTATGCATGGATATACTTATCGTATAAAATGATACGTGATACATCTCCGAGCGAGCTCATGCTTATAGCCCAAATTATAAAAATAATTTATAGTTATGGAGATGTATACAGTGTAATTGTACCAAGAGTCGTGTGCCCACAATTGCATTCGAATGTTTACTGCATTCAAATTTTACTCTAATGCTTTCTTTTTTTTCTTTTTAGTGAACTGACATATCGTCGCTGACGTGATATCGGATCCTACATTGCCAAGAACCAGAAAAAGAGTAAGAAGAAGAACCAGAAGAATTAACTTCTATGCCCAAAGTGCAATCACAGGGAGTATTTTTCTAGGCGTAAATTAGGAGAGCTAGCAGAGAAGAGGAAATGAGATTGTATTACATCTCTTTATAGCACTCTCTCACCGAACTCTTTATAGCACTTCCGGATTTTCCCTATTGTTTTCAAATCCATTAGTTATTTTTTGCCTCAGTTCATGGACGTTATTGCACAAATCAACATTGCTCTCATAGATGGACAGAGTAAACAATACAATTCCTTTTGTGATGTATAGGAATATAAAGTTGTAAATATAACAATTGTAATAAAGTATACATACAGGGTTTCAGACCACCCGGGTCACCCGATTTTTTCATAAACGTGATATTTTAGAAAAAAATGTTTCAGACAAAAGTTGTAGGGCTTCAAAGAATCTATTTACTGATGCTATAAATTTGACCTTGGGATGATGTTGAAAAGCCCAGTCAAGATCAACATAAAAATCTTAAATGGAAACTCCAATTTTTTATTACACCTTCTTTTTCCACCAATTAATTTTAACAACTTTTGTCTGAAACATGTTTTTATTTGCCTAATATTTTTTTGAGATATTTAAGGATATCTTGGTAACTTTTTCAATATTTAACTTACGATATCTCGCTAACTGTCTGTCGGGATAAAAAAATGATACGGAGTATCATACAATAGTTTAATATCATATATATATATATATATATATATATGTTTCCTAAGTCGAGGTAAATCACTCGGGAGAGTGAATGGGGAACCAAAAACAAGAAAGAAAGTTAATACAAACATAGGTCCGAAAATGCGTTGTTTTCGAGTTATCATATATTACTTTTATATTGAAATTGCTTTGCTTTCAAATTTTTTTTTGTTAAAATTAAAACATGAAATGGAGTTTGAAAACATAACTAAAGTCAAGTAAAAGTTGCAGGCTGCCTCGACTTACGGAACACCTTGTATATATGTATATAGTATATATATAAGTATAGTATATATAAATATAGTATATATATATAGTATATATATAATATAGTATATATAATATAGTATAAGAGATAAAACACGTGTGCAAATTTACAATAAATTACCGTGAGTCTCAATGTTTAGCTTGTAATCTCTACTCTCTTTCTCTCTCTTCTGCCCTCTAAGCATTTATCTCACAATTAATTGTGTACAACTAATTTTAGAAATCACGATTCCTATTATCCTATTTCTTTCTCTCTCAGTTACGACATGCAATCGTGGCGCATATTCTATTAGCTGTTATAGCGATGTTCTACGAGGGTGAGAAAAATTTCGGGGAATATCTCGAAGCGTTTCCTATATTCGCGATTTCAATATTAAATGCTATTAGTCACGTCACGTATAAACTGTAAAATAGATCTGTAGATCTCTGCATTATCAGGCATTATAAGGCGACTTCGATGATGCGAATCAACGATGTGCATGCTGCGAGTTACTTCGTAACTTCGTGCATGGCGTGTGCTAAGTATTCCACGTTCTTCGACGTCACACCAGCCATGGAAATTCGACCGTCCTTCGTCAAATAAATGCTAAAATCTTTTGTGAGTCTCTCCACCTGTCGGAAAACCAAGAAGGGATGAAATAGAGACGATATATAGTAATCTTTTATTCTTACTAAAATATATAAACATTAATTAAATCTTCATTTAATTTATTTCAAAATTAAAAAACAGGGGAGAAAAATATATTGACTATTTTTCTTTCAAGGTATAGATATAATGTAATTGATTTCAAAATTTTGTTTAACACTATTTTGTTTAACACTATGTAGTGATAGAGGAATAACTCACCTCGTCCGGTTTAAGACCGGTGTAACAGAACATGCCGATTTGATCAGTAATGTGCGACCAATTGCGGGTACTGCCGTTCTTCTTCAAATTATCGCGTAACTTTGTGCGAACCGAGATAATGCGATCAGCCATACCTTTCACATCGTGCAACCATTCCTTTCTTAGCTCTGAATCGCTCAGGATCTCATTCACGATCCTGGCGCCATTGATCGGTGGATTCGAGTACATCGGTCTGATCAGAATCTTTATTTGCGACATACATCGTGCGGCTTCTTCCTTAGTATCACACACCAAACTGAATGCTCCGATACGTTCTCCTAAAAAATGAAGAAGGATATAACACAAGTCCAATATACCTGTATGTGAATTATAGTTCGAATACGTCAAAATATTAACCATTGTAAATGTGACAGTCCACAGAGTCTTTATATATCTGTACTTTATGCATTAGATTTTATAAATTATTACTTGTACTCACCGTATAAGCCCATATTCTTCGCGTAAGATTGAGCTAAAGCAATTTTATGACCGTCCTTAATGAACAGTCTAACCGCCGAAGCATCCCTCGTGAGGTCTCCTGCAGATAAAAAGGTGATTTGAAGTGAAATAACTTGTCATAATAATTAATACAATAATTAATAATAATTAATAGTTATTATTATATTTATATTATTATTATATAATAATAATAATCAAAATTCTCCAATACAAATTCATTCTGTGATATGACTCATCAATTTGTTTGAGACATGTAATAGACAATAAGAGAACTATTAGTAACTTTTTAGTAATGTGTACCTGAGGCAAAGCCTTGATATGCCATGTCAAAAAATGGAAAAAGATTTTTCTTCTTAATCAAAACAGATAATTCTGACCACTGTTCCGGTTTTGGATCGACGCCAGTCGGATTGTGAGCACAAGCATGCAGAAGGATAATCGATCTCTCAGGAATGTTCTGTCGATGGAAACATTAATTAGTAAGTATTAACATGTCAAGGTTTATTGCAACATCAATAAATGTAAAGTAATATTAAATTTACGATTAATTTTAAACCAGATCAATTTTTGTTACTGCTAACTGCTCACCTTCCATAAATATTATTATTAATATTACAAAAGTATGTGCTTCTATTAGTATATGAGTATTAGTTAGTAAGATAACAAGTTTCTTGTAGCTTAAGATGGTATTCTTTCATAGCAAAACATTTATACTAACAGATATATCTTCCATTGCTCCTTGAAAATCCAAACCACAGGTCTTTGGATCATAATAACGATACGATTTAACCGTAAGTCCAGCAAGATTAAACAGAGGGCGGTGATTTCCCCAGGAAGGAATTGGAAGATATATGTCTTTATTGCCTGGGAAATAATGAGAAAGAAATTGTGCACCAACAAATAAAGAACCAGTGCCAGAGATTCCTTGAACTGTGGCATTCTAAAAAAAAAAAACATTTTAGCAAAGAAAAAAACTATAGAAAAATTGTAAATAATTTTACATTATAATATTTACCAATCCATTTGTTATGACTTCATTACCATCTCCTAAAGCTAGATTAATACTGTGTTGACAGAACTCAGCATTACCAGCAATTGTAGAATATTCTTTGTCCATTTGTTTAATTTTTATCTTTTCTTCTGCCTGTCATCAATCACATATATATATTATATATACAGAATATTTAGAAAATTATATATATTATTAAAAAAATATAGCATTATATGCACAGACTAACCTTACGGACACTAGGAAGAACAAATGGTTTACCATTATCATCTCTATAAGCGCCTGCACCTAGGTTAATTTTCTTAGGATTCTGATCTCTCTTATATGCCTCTGTAACTCCCAAAATAGCATCTGGTGGTCCCATCTCTACTTGAGACCACCATGAACTATAACATATAGAATTATACCTTGTATATCAATTATCTGTCAATAATTGTAACTATCTCTAATTATATATCAGAATTTTACACATATATATTTTATATTTCTGGTGTGTATGTGTGTATGTGTGTGTGTGTATGAAGCACATTATTGAAAAGCAAATAAAATACAATTACAATAATCTAATTACAAAATAAAAATACACAGATTGCAGTAAAAATTTCACAGTAATTCCGTAACATAAAATTAAAGCTTTCAAAGCATAAAACGAGTATTTTAATAGATTAAATTTCAAAATTAATTTAATTCATTTAGTTAATATAAATATTTAATAAATTAACATATTAACAGTCAAAAGATCGGTCAAATTAACTCCAAAATAACGCAAATAACAATATCTTCCAGAAGTTTCATTATTGCAATCTCATTATGGAATATAGCCAATCTTGTGAAGGACAAAAGGTCATATATTCGAAATACTGGAAATACAATACCTTGCAGATCTTATAGCCATTGATAAAGAATTACAAGTATTCCTCAAGTTTGCGGTAGTTGCGATCAGCCTCGTTGTAAGAGCCATTTAATGCAATATTCTCTCGCGATCCCCTCGATTATATTTAAATCCGGATGAAAGTTAACCTCGATTGGACTTTACTCACTGGACCAGAACGATGACGCTCATGTGACGGCACACAAGTCTAAACTGTCGAATCAACGAGGGCGACCGGCGACTCGTTATGTCACATGATCATCAAGCATCGGAAGATCAGCAGCTTTCTGTTATCAATATTGCTGATTTGTTGTTGCAACTTCTTATCGGAGAATTTTTTCTCCCATGTGACATTTCAGAAATAGCCAGCTCTTTCGATATGTTAATATTATACGATGTAACCGATAACATTTACAGCAAATTTGATTACCTACATTATGCCACATTGCTGCAAAAAAGAGATCATTTTTTTTTCTTTTCTTCAAGGGTTTTATACCGGTATTCATAGTCCTTCCTTATCTTAAGGATGGAGGAAACCTCGATGAAGGATTCTTTGAATCCAGAGCTGCCAGATTCGCTGCATTGCCCCCAAAGTTGAATCTCCAAGGCCATCTTATTTCATAAATGGATCTCGAGTCTTCCTTCCAGAAGGAAGAAAGACCGCGTTCCGATGTTCACTGTAAGTACTGAAACTCTATAATATACGTGATACGAGCTATAGATTTTTAGTACTAGCAGTGGATATCGGAACGCAGCTATAACCTAGCATCAGTTTAGCAGTGCATATTGCAATACGGATAAAGATAATAAAAGCGTACATTATACGGAGCAAGAGCGAGTGCTCTTGGTGCAGCTTATCGTTGAGGTTATCGAAAAAAAAATAATCCTTCGCCAGAATCATTTAAAAATTCGATGTCCATTATCCTCTTTTTCCTTCATATACTTTTAGTTTCATGGTTCACGGCTCAATAGGCTGCGTTCAAAAATCTGACTCTCTGGGCTGCGTTCGAAAATCCAACCCCGAGTAAGGCTAATATTACATGTGTCGTACGACAAGCTTTTCGGATACATTGATTGGCGTAAGCAGAGCAATCCTAGAAATATTCTATTTGTTAACCAATCAACGTATTCGAAAAGATTGTCGTACGACAAGTGTAATATTAGGCCTGTTCGTTTTGTCTGCACTGTTGAACTGGTGCAACAAGTTAAAGTGAGAAAACCTACGTTTGTCTCACTTTAACTGAATGCACCAGTTCAGCAGTGCAGACAAAACGAACAGGCCTAATAATAGCCTAAACGTGGCCTCTGACACAAGTCAACGGCGATCTTATCGTTTGAACTCAATTTTAATTGCAAAAACCTTCGCTACGAGTCGCCACTATTTGTACCGCCAAATTAAGCTCGTATAGTATGACTGAGCTGTAAGAAGTATATGGAGGTTAGATAGATTTTTATATTTTAAGCAATAATAAAAGTTGGGCTCTGATTTCGTATATGTGCATCAAAATAGTAAGAAATCTAATAATATACACATGAATATATGAATATTAGTTTAGTAGGATCTGACTGACAGGTAAGAAAAAGAATTAAGGTAAGTAGGTATAACTACATTAATATAGTATATATTAATATATTGTTACATTTATGTCATACTCAAGTTAAAATAGAATCTATTAAAATACAAAAATATTATAAAACTCAGTAACGATATACAATTTTATATACTTATTTGATATCGCGATTGCTACGCATGCGCGAAACCGAGCTAATTTCTCATCACTCTAGATATAAATATGGATCTCTATTAGAATCGTTATATAAAATTTGTCTTATTAATCGAGGGTAAAGCGCAACTAATCTCTTTCTCTCTCGTGAATTGTCTATACACTTATATGTCTTTTTATTCTTTATTGGTTTAACTCTTTATATATGACGATTAATAGACTTAATAATCATAATCATTAATAAAGGAAGTAACTACAAATTACAGAAGGAGAAAATAAGCTCCCTATGCATCAGTTTGACGATTAAACGAATCATTGAAAATATTTCAAACATTAAACAAAATGGAAATTGATGATACTTATAAAAAGCATGAAAATGATGATGGTATTGTATTATATATAAATAAAAATTGTTTTTGAAAACTATATATATATATATATACACAATATTATTGTTAAATTGCAATTTTTTTTAATATTATATCAATATATTTTTTAAGCAACTATTATATTATCATGTTAAATATTTATCAAATATATATATATATATTTATGAATTTATTATTTATCTGCTAAAATAGAATAAATTATACATATACTACATGTATGTATGTGTTGTAGCTAAAGAAACTTATACAAACCTCAGAAAATCAATTCCTCAGTTGGAAGAATTATTTCATATACATCACAAGGTTGGAGAAGGTGCGTTCAGTTCTGTTTTTCTGGCTACTCTGAAGTCTTCTAACAGAAGGAAAAAATTTGCATTAAAATACTTGATTCCCACTTGTCATCCCGAAAGAATCGAACGTGAATTAAAATGTCTTCAACAGATAGGGTATGTTAGGCAAGATTGGTATAAAATAAACTAAAGTATACTTTTGGTTTATTTTTTAATACATGTTGATGAGACAAGCCATGATTTATTTCAGTGGTAAAGAGTACATTGTTAATCTAGAATTATGTTTGAGAAATCATGGCTCGGTAGTATTTGTAATGCCATATATGAAGCATGACAAATTCCCAGTAAGTTCATAATTGAGTTTATATAAACTTATATTAAATAAGAGTACTTTGCAAAATTTATTCATTGTACTATGACTATGGTTAGGACTATGTGAAAGATATGACTGTTGAAGAAACAAAGGCTTACATGAGAGCTTTATTAAGTGCCCTACGAAGGGTTCATAAGTTCGATATTATCCATAGAGATGTTAAGCCCAGTAATTTTCTCTATGATCGTACTAACAGAAAGTAAGTCTATATGAGAAAGAATTTTTTTCTATAACTGTAATATTACATTTTATTCATTTTCTTCATATTTATAGGTATTTATTAGTGGACTTTGGTCTTGCTCAACAAAGTACCACAGAGGATTTTAAAACTACAAAAGAAACCAACATAAAAAGTATGAACATAACACCAGCTGTCAAACGAAAAAGATCGGACGAAGTAATGTGATACTTTGTACAAGCTATAGTATTACAGTTATATAGTATTGTAATATTCAAATTTCTTTTTGTTTGGCACTTTATTCCGTTACTTGTTTTAGAACAATGTAAATCTCCAGTTGAATACCGTCGGGAAAAGGACTGGAGATAACAAATGTTACTGTTTTGGCAAACCAAAAGTTTGTTCGTTATGTTTAACAAAACCACAGGAGCAAGCACCTCGTGCGGGTACACCAGGTTTTCGCGCTCCAGAAGTTTTATTAAAGTATTCTTCGCAAACCTCAGGTATTGAAAGATAATATTACTTCAATCAAGACATGGTCCATTCCTTTTTTCTCTAGAGAAGAAAAGGGAAATGAGCAAATTGTTTGGATCAACTTAATAATTTCATGCACAAAGAAAACAAAATGATTTTATATCTTTATCAAACGGAAAAGTAAAACAAATATTTTTAGCGATTGACATTTGGGCTAGCGGTGTAATGATGCTATGTATACTCAGTGGTACACAACCATTTTTCCGTTCACCAGATGATTGCACAGCTTTAGCGGAAATAACGTCGATGTTTGGAACACATAATGTGCAGCAGTGTGCGCAAAAATTAGGTACATTGATTTGTCTTTGCTTCAAGTCGTTCGTTTCTTGTTCCACTTCCATAGTCCTTAATTTATTTTTTCTTCATATATCTTCATATATTTTGTTATATTTTTCACTTATTTTTATTTCTTGACTCAGGTAAAAAAGTTATTTTTAGCAATAATTTACCAGGCATTGACATTATGCCTTTGTGTCAAAAATTACAAAAAAGAAATAGAAGCATGACATATGATAAGGATAGTACATGCAAGAAGGTATATTTCGTTTATGTTTTAAATCACTCATTTAACGCAAGGATATGTCGCGTAGGAGAAAGTCGCGTACAACCAGACACAATGGTGAAATCTCGGATTTTCTTTAGCTAAAGAACATTAACAAATTATATTAGATCAAAAGCAGTTGTCAGGATCCTCGTCAATAGCGATTTAATCTTGATCTAATCGTAAGTGCTACGTAATTGAAGATAATACTATAGTTACGAGAAATATGCTTTATCGCAAAAATAAAGGAACGCACTTAACTTTCTCCTATCGCCTCACAGTGATAAATTTTATTTCAATATTTTTAAATTACTGTTGAAATATTTCAAGGTATTGCCAGATATCGAGTATCCCAAGGAAGCGTACCATCTCTTGATGAAGCTTCTAGACTTAGATTACAAAACACGTATCACTGCTGATCAAGCATTATCTCATCCATTTTTGAGAGAGAGTTTATGATGTATAAAAGATATAGTTTTTGTAAACTTGTGTATATTATACATTTGATTTGAAGTTTATATGTACATACACTTTATACGCGCATCGTTAGCATATGAATAAAAACCATAATGTTATTCCGTTTTGTAGTTGTGTTCGTTGAGCATTCCATATTTATAGATACCACGGAACAAAACAGTTTATGCAATGTCTCTGAATATATATATTATCCGTTCGATACGTCCATAGTACAAGTAATTATTCCAAGCTATGGTAATTTGGCAAATCATTCATACATGAGTCGTGAGAAATAATCGTATATATTTGTAAATCTAAATAAAATATAAATATTAATTACATAACTTTCGTTAAATATGTAACAGTAGGTATATTTAAAACTACAAAATTATAGATTTAATCGCAATATACAGAGTGAGGCACTTAAAATAAGCCACCTGAATAACTTTGAAAATATAAATAGAAAAAAATGTTTACTACTTATGGAAGTTGTAAGGTCACATACGTGACACATCACAGCAATATTAATATGATCTTGGACAGCGTCAAAGTTACGGAAAGGTCACCTTGACATTTTACATTTCTTTTTTCTATCTTGCATCTTCTAAATTTTTTTCTATTTTGCATCTTCTATCAGTTTCAGTCATTCAGGTGACCTGTTTTAGGTGCCCCATCCTGTATATATATTTTTCTTTATAATTCAAGGCACTCGATTTGAAATATAATAAAGATACACGACATGCCAATTTAACGTTGAATTAGTATTCAAACATTTACGTTTAATATCCTCAATCGATATGTTCGATGTTGCTGGTGCCCTGTGACTCTCCTTGTGATTCTCCCTCATCGACGTTCTTCTTAATCAAATTCCACTCAGCGGCGGCGTCCAAAGCGGTAGTCGCAAATTCCTTAATTTTTGGATTCTGTATGTTCTCATCTTTACTCAACGCCATCAGTATCTCCATTATATCCGTATCGATGAGCTTCGAAGCGACATCTTTCGTGCTTCCCATCATGTTCAGCACGATCACAACGCCTCGATGTTGCAGGTCATCGTTCGGGTTGGCGAGTAAGAAGCGCAAAGATTCCGCCCAATCCTTTGAGTCAAAGATCTTCTCGCAAATCTTTTTGCTCGCTGATGTGAGTATCGCCAGTGCTCCAGACGCCGCCAGGCTGGTATCTTGATCCTCGTCCTCGCACAATATCACGAGATATTTGACTCTGTCGTTCTCCTGCTCGAAATACTGCACCGTCTCCTCGCACATTACCAAGTTGTTTATAACTTGCGTGGACGCACGCCTCAGCATGTCGTGATCCTCATACATATAGGTCTCGATCTTCTGGAATCCGCCCTCTTTTAATATCCGTTTCCGCACGCTGTCGTTGACGCCGGCCAAGTTGCACAGGGCCATCAAACTTTCGAAGTTCTCAAGCGCCGAACATTCTGGGTTCAGGAGATTTATGAATGGCCGCACCACCTCCATGATTCTCTGGCCCGGGAACGCAACTTCCGGATTGATCGTGATCCCCAGACGAGCCAGAGCCTGCGAAGCTTGTTTCTTACCCTTATCCGTGCCGTCGAGCGCCAACGGCAGCAGTACCTTCATGGCACCCTGTTGAACAATGATGCCTCTCACATCCTGTTGACTGCACAACGCGTTGAAAACGCGCGCTATCAGTTCCTTGCTGTTCTGGCTGTCCGTCTTAGCGAGGCTGACTAAAGCACTGGTCACACCCGCCTTGGCCAATGAGCACAGTCTTTTATTCACGAAATCAACGTCATCGAGCTCGTGCTCCTCGGGTATATGATGTTTTGCGAACTTGGCCAGTTCGACCATTTCGGGTATAAGCTCTTGCTTGTCGTAAGCATTGCACAGATTCACCAACGTCGTGACCACGCCGTAAAGAACCGACTGATCTTCCGTTTTAGCCAACTCGATCATTGCCTGAACGGCCTGTTGGTCCTCTATCAATTTCTCCTTCACTTCGGCGTCGAAAGTGAGGTACGACAGACCCTCCACGGCCCATTTTCTCATGTCTTTTTGTTTCTTGGGATTAATCAAGAATCGTCGGCACGCCTCGGCCAGTTTCTTTGTCGCTCCGTCGGCGAAAGGCCTGATGGTCGCGTCTGTGCCACCGGAACTGCCCAACTTGCACAATCCGACCAACGCTCGTACCCGAATCGAGTCGTCCTTCGACTGATATAGCTTCTTCAATATATTGACACCCTGATTTATAATCGCGGTGGCTTTGTCCTTCTTCGACGCGGCGGCGACGATGCACTCACATGCGACTTTCTGCTGCAACACATCGTCCGTCCCCGCCATAACGAGAATCATCTCTAGAATTCCTTCCTTAGCTACCACTGCGTTTCCGACGTCCAACGGGCCCAGCAGTAAAGTCGTTATTGAAACCACTACACGTACCTATAAATTGACCAGTTAATAATCCATGAATTTTTCTACAATAACATTATGCAACGTCATATTTTGAAGAACGCATATTCCGTGATTGAAAATCGTCCTGTACAGTTCGAGTAATCAAAATGATATTTGAAGCGACTATCGATGTACCTTCGATTCTATATCTGGCGTGAGCAATTTATCTTTAATAAATTCATCAATAGCGTCCCTAAACTTGTCCTTAGCAGCGTCGTAGTACATATTCTCATATATTCTGGCTAAACACACGCTGGTGATAGTCCGCGTGGAAGGTGTAACGTCCATCGAAGACTCGTATTTGAATTCTTCCAATTCGCTGGCTACCTCCATTAGCCTCTGCAGACCGCGAAGTTCGACCAAGCGCTCGGCCCAGTCCAATGCGGTGTAATGAATATTGCGCATAATTAATTCTATTATCGCGTCTCTCGCTAGACCCGTTATTGTCCTGTTTGTTACACTGTACAGCAAGCACGACAGAATCGTGTCTATTTCTTTCTTGTAGTTCTCGCACAAGAACTTGTCGGGCTTCGAATCAGACTTATTACCCATACCGCTGTAAGTATTTAAAACGGTCTGAAATTGAAATATAATGGATAGGATTTTTTATTATGAGTACGAAGAATTGCATATATATTACACATAGTCGGATCTATATATTTACCTGCAAGCAATACTGCGACGTATTAACTCTCTCTTTGTGCTTGCTATTCATCATTTCCAGATACCAAGGTACACCAACGTCTTTCACGATGTCTTCAGTTCGGTTAAGGTTGCCTGCGCACAATTCGGCTACAATGCGAATTGCGCTGCAGATTATTTCCTCGTTATCTTCGACTTTCACAAGTTTCGTGATCTTAGATACTCCTTCTTGTTTGAAGATTTCTTCCGCACCAGCCCTCTCACGTGCGAGCACAAGCAGATTATTAATAGCAAGCAGACGTTTCTCTTTGTTCACATTTATATCAAATGCTATCTTTGACATTTGCGATACCTAATACACAAATATAGATCAGCATCTTAATTTATATCTATACATCTATACAATTATACTATATGTATGTATACATACTTTAGCACTGGTACGAGAATTTTCTTTATCTCGTTCTAGCACGATCTGATGTAAACGTATAGCTATGGGCTGAATGGATGTGTTATTGGGATCAGACAAAATGAGGTATTTCGCATCTCGATATGCTTCCTCAAATCTTTCTAATGCCTCTAATGCCTGGCATCTTCGAAATAATGCCTTGGGATCGGTAGGGCATATTTTTAATGCACTATCACAATCTGCAATTACTTTTCCGTATTCCTGTAACTTTAAATGAGCAGCAGCCCGATTTCTATAATATACTGCTTTATCAGTATTTTCTCCTTTTGTTAATTCCAGTGCATTTGTATAGCAATCTAAAGCCTCCAACCAATTGCCTTTATTGTACTCCTCGTTACCTTCCTCCTTCCACTCTTGTGCAGTCTTATCTCCTTTTGTCATCTTGTGTGATATAATTATATCCTGCAATATAAAATAATTTTATTGAAATAATAGATAACATCGGAACTCGTTATATAAACTGTCATTTATTATTGAAATAATTTTTATATTATGGAATTTGTCTTATGCTAAATATTAAAAAATGAAATACAAAAAAATTAGTTCAAAATAATTTTACCTGCAGTCTGTTGATACGAATTAATTAACAGGTTTCTAGTGAGCAGTTCACTTTTCTTGAATCTAATCACTGATACAACTTGCAAGGAAGACTACTATGCACTTTAATCTGCCTTCATTCTCAAAATGAGGTCAGGATTAGCATCGCTGTGCAAGCCACATGCACACCACAGAGCTACCTAGACACGGTAACATTCGTGAAGGGTTATTTTCGGCTAAATATCTTCGACAAAAGTGAGAACTAAAAATAGATTCAACGACGTGCTTCTGATCATCTCTCTTTCTCTAATGTTCTTTAATTGCGGTCGTCTAAAGATTTAACCTTAAGACAGTTTCAGAATTCATAATATAAAAGAAAATTTTATTTTATTCTTGTCAAAAGAGAATATATAATTGTGCAGTATGTTTTGCTTCGAGACTTATGACGATAATTCGTATCCTCGTTTTCTTATAAATGTCAATAATGTTTAGCAGTAGAAAAAGCAAATATATACATATATATATATATATAAAATTCGATTTAATTGCATTAAATCTCAGTGCGACGTTTAATTATATGCTGCAAGATGGAAAAATGAAATTAACATTTTTTATTGCGAAGATACAATAGGCGGAGAATACCAAAGCCTAAGACAAATTTCATTCGTATCAGACGCATTCCTAACCTTTTATCGAAGTCCAGCTTCGGCGGTTTGCATTACGTGCTTTTTAAAATTCACAACACCTTCTTCAAGTATGGCGACATGAACCTCATTAATCACTTTCGAAGTGAGACGAGAAATCAATCGAAAACATTACAATTTACGCTAAATAATTCGGTAAGCCAAACCTTTAACAGTGGTGCGATTCTTTAACTCGTTATTGGAGTTAACGACAGTTTCGTTGTCGTTGCGCAGCTTTTCTACGGTATACAAAAGCTGCGCAACGATAACGAAAGAAGTGTCGTTAACTCCAATAACGAGTTAAAGAATCGCATCACAGGCATGTTGAAATAACATAATAACGTAGAGCCCTTTCGTCCTGTCAAAATAACGGGTAAAAAAATTTTATTTTCTTAAACGTCTAACATGGTTCGAATCTCAACTAAATGTTGCTTTTTAGCCAAGACTCGAACCACAATTTTCTAGTTTCCATAAATTTAGCTGAGACTAAACTAGATATTTTTTGTGCATTTTTAGAATTATATCTAGTAATACTTGTTGAAAAAATGCATTACATAAAATGGCTCCACTTTCGAATATTTCCCTTCACCAGAAGTGCCTTGAAATAATTGCTTTTCAATTTTATCGCGATATCTTTATTTTTGGACACTCTACAGTGGAGGGAAAAATTCGAGAGTAGAGCAATTTTATAATTAATATTATATTATATAATTCTACTCAACTCTAAGAGTCCGCAAAAAACTCTTGAAAAGTACAAATATCCCAGCAAACACAATATTACATGTAATGCGCATGTTGGTTGTAATTTCCTATTCAACAATATAACTGTAATATAACACAGTGTTGCACGTTACATGTGATAATTGTGTTTGCTGGGATAATAATGATAATCGATACAATATAAAGTACATTCTATTAAACATTACGTTTGCATCAAGACATGCAATAAAAATGTTTAAAAAATCATAAATCACAGGTGAATTCCATAGTACACTCCAAGTATAATATTTATTTAATTTTCAGTTGCTTTATTCTCTCGTAATTCTCCCCAATTATGTACAAAAATATAATGAGAATCATTACAGAGTTCATAACATTAGGTACGTGACGCGATACGCTCTCTCCCTCTCATCGTCGCATTCTCTGGCGCTTTCTCGTTTTAGATCTTTCGAGTGAACATGAAGCTGCGGAACGTCGTCGCGACGATGATGATATGTGCGTGATAATTACTCTTCGCTTGTTCCTCACGCAAGAATATCATTTTTGCTGCTCGGAAAGCACACTGTCGTTCCGACGTTCGGTCCGATTCTCTATGCGTGATTATCGCTGTTACTTTGCATCGTAATGCACGCTCATGACAAGAAAATTCGGCGATCTCGAGAGGAAAAGGGATAGAGGGTCGTGATCGTATACAGTGTTCGCGAAGCACCGGATATCTTATCAATCACCGATTATCTCGACAACCCGGAATTACAACGACCTTCGGTGCGATTCTCCCAAGATTCTTCTCCAATTTTCTATGTAATAATCAGACGAAAAAAGCAACAATGAAATTGGCCGAACAATTAATGACCCAGAATAAGGGATTTCTCAGGGGGTCTTAACATTCGAGAGACCAAACTTAATCCTAAACCAAGTCCAACAGAATTTTAATTCGCCGCTCAGCCGCCGAGAGTTGTCGCGCGTTAAAACCCGAAAAGTCGCAAACGCGTGTCGCAGCAGCATTTGTGCGAAGAGCTGCAAGTAAGTCCCAAAGAAGAGTCGACTCGAAGTCTAACCGGGCAAATTAGAGCACACCGCACGATCGTGTTTTATCGCGCTTCCGGAACATCTACGTAATGTTAGAAAGTTGTTGCAAGCGGCGAGTTATCTGGATTTTCCATCGGGGAAAAGTCGACTTCGAGTCAACCGAAGAATCTGTGACCGAAGAGATACATCCGGCGATTCTGAGACCCGTACGTTACAATATCTCGAACAACAACGTTATATCATCAAACCTAATCACTTTACAAATGTAAAAAGTTACTCGCATACATTCTACGTGGCTCTTGCGTTCTTCCTTTTTTCTTTTTCTTTTCTCTTTCTCCCGCGGAAGCCGTCGTGAAATATTGCTGGAAACATAAGAAAGGAGCACGACAGTTCGTATCGCGCTCACGTCGCCGCTGATCCGTCATCGATGAAGACAGGCCACTTGTTTCGTAGGAAAACAACTGGATTCGTTATAAAGGATTACAAAGGAGGTTTGTGCCGCGAAATCCTGTGGCGGAAACAACGTCGAAGAGCCGTCAACGCGCTCTCGGAGTCTCTCGACGTGGTCTCTCTCTCTCTCTCTCTCTCTCTCTCTCTCTCCTTAGAAAAATATCATGCGCTGATGCGTGTGAGAAAAGGAGTTTCGCTTACGCTCGTCCGGGGACAAAATGCAACGACTACGCAACGCATCAACAAGAACGTCCTTATAAAGGAGAAGAAGTATCCGCGCCCGCGTTGGAGAACGAACCGCGCGGGCGCGCTCCTTGCGGACGTCTCAGGTGCAAATTTTCCGGTATAATCCCGAGCAAGAAAACGGCGAATATCGCGGAATAATTAATTCCGTTCGCTTGCCATTATGGGTGTCGGCGATCGCGAATCGCGCTCGGTGAAAAAAGAAAAATGCTCGCTCGTAACGACGAGAGCGCAGGTAGAAAAGCGTAAAAAAGCGATCGGGGTGTTCCTTCTCGACCCTCCTCGGCGGGGGCGGGGTGTAAAATACGCGATCCTGCGGCTAGTTATTTCGGCTCCAGTGTCGTAAACGCAATAAAGCGATGTGTTAGCGCACTCATTGTTCTCGCTCGCAAAAAATGGTTCTCGGAGTCGAGAGACGCCGCTCCGGTCTACAAGATCGCCGTGGAACGACGTGATTCTACATGTCACTAAGGAGAGACACGCTGTGCGTTGCTTTCTTCGCTAAAACACCTCCCAACTCGTTACAGGCGCGTTAATTAGCGCGCGTTAACCACCGGCGCGCCGTGGCGCCGTATCACAAAAACGGAACGAGATTGGAAAACATAACAGTACGTCCTACCTAGATCGCTTCGACTATTTTATCGCAGTATTGTGCGTAAGTTAAAACACGCGAAGAATCTCTCTCTCTCTCTCTCTCTCTGACTTTCTATCGCTCGAAAGCGCTCGATGAGCGCGCACATTTCCCAGTCTGTTATTTCGCTTTCGCCTTCACGCCTTCGCTGTTCCCTTCGCGAGAACTCCTCGTATGTCGACATATGTCGTCTCGCTCGATGACAGTCCCCTTTTTACAAATATACATGCGGATTTTAATTAGTCTTAATTCATGCGCGTATATACCTGTTTCGCTCGTGTTTTCATTGCGACACCGAACACTTCCTCCTATATTTACATGTTTAATCGGACGAGGGAAGCTAATGAGTATTAATTAAGTTTCGACGCACAACGAGCGATTGAATTGCAAACTAGGCGGCGATCCACCAGCGAGTGTAACGTCGATTCTGAAAGTACAATGGGACAAATTGAAAATCCATTTATTTATCCTGCGGAAAGTAGGTCCGCGTAAGTTAACGTAAAAACGTCGATAGAAATTAACGTTCAGTTATAAACGCCGATTGTTACAATTTTAATAATGCGTAAAGAACTCGGGCGAACAGAAACATTTTTCGCTACGCTCTCGTTTCATAAATTTATACCACCAATCTATCTGTTTCTTTATTCGCATCGTTATATACAGTCGACAGGTCGCAACGCTTTTCCTCGATGATTTTTGCAACATTCCGTATCTGATGGAAAAATTGATTTTTCGGTGATCACTAGAAAAGCAAATTCTCCTATTGGGTACAGGATACATTGCAAAATTTTGAGTATTACAATTTTTGATCAACCGACTGTATGTTATGTGTATAACCAAAGAGTGAACATAAACGAATGTATCTTCTTTAATAGGGAATAGGTTTTTCTTTATCCAGTTTGGGGGAGTAGCCGAGAGAGGAAGAGAGAAAATGCGGAAAATGCAAAAATTAAAAATAATATCTAATTGGTACATCATCAAAAATTAATACAACAAATGACGACTCCATATTGAGCAATTATGGATATCGCTGTTATCGTCACCGTTATTATTATTACGCGTGCTCTGCCATTTTTCTAGCATAATTAAAAAAAAATCCAAGAGAACGATCTGCTGCAAAATTTCTTCAAAGAACAATACGAATTATAATCATACAAAACACAGCGTTGTGGAAAGGAAGAGAAGACATATGATGTGTACAAGTGTTAAATTTTAATGGTTACACTCATCTTCCATGATGTGCGCTTCCAAAGTTGCAGAAAGAGGATGTTCAAGCTCTCTCTCTCTCTCTCTCTCTCTCTCTCTCTCTCTCTCTCTCTCTCTCTCTCTCTCTCTCTCTCTCTCTCTCTCTCTCTCTCTCAACGACACTCTCTCGCTTCTTGCTTCCTTCTTCCCTCATCATTTCGCTCTTTGTCGTTTCGTGAGCTTCCGCTTTGTTCCTTCTTGTAAAGATAACCGAGGTTGAGTTTATTACAGTCGAGACATTTCATCATCAGCGTTTTATTGTATCAGGGTCATCATAAATAATATGCTCATAAAAATAGGAAGTGTACAAATATATCAATCTTAGTGCGACTAATTACGGTCTTTTAAACAGTTTCCCTTTCCCTCGTATAGTAATATTTGCGCATATACACACACACGTAAATTAAGACACACACGTTTTGCATCCGACTCGTTCTCGCGACCATGGTTTAATTCATGTTAATGATTGCGTGTGAGAGAGACTTGTTACGTAGTGCGCACTCACTTTGGAAGCTTGATTCTACGACACTAGAGAGCTTCGTGACTCAAATGTCGCGTGTTTTTCCGATCGATTAAAGCACCAGTTGTGTGTTGCACAATGAACAGGCCGCACTGCGGCTTACTGCCGCGCGCTAAGGAGGAAATATGATCGAAGCAGCGAACATCTCTTGTCACCAGCGCCGACATCGACGTTGGCAGCGTAGCGGAGCTGGCACTGGTATTACTACTACTGATCATCATCACCATCACCATTACCATCACCCTCACCCTCTCACCATCACCGTCACCATCACCATATCACCATCACCGTCACCGGTACCATCACCATCACCACTATCACCGTCTTTATGATTATCGTCATTGTTACAACGTATACGCGCGATTGTAGAATCAAGCCCCCGAATGAATCAAGAACCTAGAGGGATGGTCGTACAGATTCAACTATGTTACGAGTAACATCGACATATGTTGCTAAAAATTTGTAACGTTCCCACGAAGTTTCAAGGATCTCGTGCCTGTCGAGACAGAATTATTTACTCTAACTAGCTAATTATTAGCCAACAGTATCTCTTAGATATACGACTCTCTCAATTGATACAATAAATTAACAATAATAGGGACACTACGAATTCTTAGCAATCGTCAAATCGACCGTATGTAACCGACTCTCTGCTGCATCAGTTCGATCGTACGCGACGTTATACGTAACGATATTGATTCGGGCAGATCGACTTGTGTGTTCAAATTTTACAAAACATACCCAAGTTCTGAACACAATCGAAGCTATATGTAGAAAGATGTATATAGAATTGGTGATAATGATGGTAATGACGGAGGAGAGGAGGAGAAGAAGGAAGAGGAGGAGAAGGAGAGATTGAGATGAGGGAGGATTTGGTTCTAGCGTGTCTCAATAGAGAAATGCTTCGGAGTTACGTACTGACCAAGAAACATTCATACGCGCATTCGACATACACAACCCACGACAAAAAATGCACGCACAGCGAACGCTCAGTTTTCGATTTTGTAATTGCGGGGAAGCCGCTGGTTCCTCGCAAGTTCTCGCGTGGCTGTTCCTCGTCGCGTATGTGTGCGCTTTAAAAATCGTTAAGTTCGCTTTCATCGTTCCGCGCTCTCTCTCTCTCCCTCTCTCACAGGCGTTACAGCTCGAACGTTCGAGTCCCACCTTTCTCAGACACGTTGTCAAGCTATCCGCGACCTAGAAATTTTACAAAACCACAGCGACAGCGATTTTCGATAGCGCCGAGAAATACAGAAAGTGCAAAAGTAGTCTTCTTTTCCCCCCTTCGCTAAGTTCTCTTATCGTATTATCGATGATTACCGACGATATTATCGATGTTCTATTTTCGGGTGGCAGCAGGTGTCACGAGGCTCTAACAAATCGAGTACAAACCATGTTTCATTATTACGAAGGCTCGAAAGAGGAAGATTGCGCGACATTAGCAATGGTTTGCGCATTCCGTTGTTTCTTGTCTTTCTTCTTTTTTTTTGTTCATTTCGTTCTTTTTTTTTTATTTTTGTAACGGACGTTGTAACACAGTTCTCCCATCGATGACTCTATGTTAGTGAACACAGCTTTCGCTCTGCTAACAATGCAGAATATTGCAGCGAGATAACGAAAATTTGTCTCGCTGTTGTTTTTTTATCTTTCTTCTCGTCTCCCTTCATCCTCCTTACACGCGCACGTGATTGGTGGTTGACTCTGCACATTTCACACGTAAATTCGTTTTACCCTTGTCGCGAGATGACGTTATGGCGGATGAATGGTAACTGTAGCACGGCGAGACGAGCTGACCGACAACACTTCGAAGAAAATGTTCGAGTGTCCACCAAGGCAGCAATGTGTCCTAAGCGAGCTTTTTCTCCGTATTGTTGTTAGCAACGTAACCGTTGTTTGTGCCGTTGCTGTAACAGCTGTTGTACTCTTTGTTGTAGATCGTGTAAGAAGATACACCGTTGTGCGTCGACTTGTCTTTCTCGTCCAGAACCGGCATGCATGCTCCGCCTGACAAGCCGTTCTGCATCTTCGCGGAGGCCTTGTTATCCATGACGACGCCTCTGTACTTTGTCTTGTAAAAGTCCGAGAACAGTCCGAGAAACAGGCAACCGTGCAAGCCGATCCAGATCATAAAACTACGCGGATAGTCACACTCGGTGAAGAGCAATTGGAATTGGTGGGACATGATCATCACAAATTGTATCTAAAATCAGAACAAGGGAGTGATCAGTTAAGTTCAGCGGTAACCGCGAAAGCGATAATGGAAATGATTCAATTTTCAACCCTGTCTCCTGTCAATGCGAATCGTATTGAATGTACTCGTATATTACGAAAACTCTGAAAGAGTGTCTTCTCAAAAGTAACGATGGATCATCGTAATTGAAGAGCGAGCCAGATCTTATATGTTCTGTATAAAGTTCAACATTTATTTCATTAATTTTATCAAAAGTGTCAAAGGGCAATTTCAATTATTATTATACTTTTCTCGCAAATGTATTTGTTTTTATGTAATTGCGAAAAAGAAACTCAGTCAGAGTTAGACAAATACGATTTCATGCTTTCAGATATGCACGCTGTGATTGGTATACCGTAAACAAGTCAGCTTAGAGACGTATAGGCCTCTCAGGGTACATATCTTCCAACGCACAGTACAGTAATCTACGCAGTGAATTGAGTTGTAATGTGTGAATATTGGAAAAATAAATTATCACTGTCACACATACGTGACGTCGACAGCGGACGTGTTAATCGTACTAAGAATTCTTTACTATACAGATTGTTGGATACATACGAGCGCCGTGTCATCGCATATTTCAAAATGGTAAAATTGTGCAAAACATTGCGGGACGAGCGTGTGAGTTTATACGCTGCAATCGCCATGTTGTATTTATGACGACCCGAAATAATGCTGAGCTCACCATCTGCATGGTAGTGAGGTACTTCTTCCACCATATGTACTTTTGGAACTGCGGACCCATCGCAGCTACCATATAGTAAAAGTACATCACGATGTGCACGAAGGTGTTTAAGAGGGCGAAGAAAGTGCTGTGGCCGCCCGGCGCGAACTTCACCCCCATCCACACGGAAAAGGGCATCACCCCGTGATGAATTACGTGAAGCGTGGAGACGTGTTGGTTCTTCTTCCGCAGAATGAAGAATAGCTGCAAGAAAACGGAAAGTTGTACATTTCACTGCTATGCTCGCTGCTTTGCGCGTGTGTAGCGATTCTTATTAGTACATTTCCAACATATTGTTCAACATCTGTCGCAGATTGTGTGAAATTTAATGGAAAACTCGACAGGGAGGCAGAAAAGATCCGATTGATCTCCTAATTTGCAGTTTTGCAGGAACTCATCGGACAAAGCTCTCTTGTTTTTATATTCGCTCGCTACACGCTGTTCAAGAGCGGCGCAAGTCAAGTAAAAATCGATACTCACCGTGTCGAAGAACTCGGTGAATTTGCTAAAGTAGTACCACCAGCAGGTATGCGCCATTCTTATGCCCATCGAACTGTACGAATAATCTACTGGTTGGCATCGAATACTGTAGCCTTTCGCCCAACCACTCATCAGATACTGAAACAAATGTGCGTTTGAATCAACCAGTGTCGCATACATTTCACAGGTAAATGAGTTACAGTATATTATTGTAGATAATAGTAGATTACTGTTTGTTTTCTACGCATAAATTCTGAAGATGCACCTTGTTCATCGTGCCTAAGGAGTTTCCCTGATTTTTACCGCTTTCTCCTATTTTTCCTTAACAGTTTCAGATACGCGAATTAAAGGGCGAATTATATGCGGAGCAGACCGTTTTTACGAATTTTTCTAACAGAAACGGTAGAATTAATGAACTTGAAATTTTCACAGTGTATTCAATAGTGTTCAAAGTATAAAATAAATTTGTTACTATCTATATAGAAAGTACACACAAAACTTTAAACGCGTTTATCTAAAACATCATTTTCTTAAAGTGTCGACATGATTACGCAAAAACTACTGAACCGAATAACTTGAAATTTTTACACAATATAATACATTTTTACATAATACAGTAGACATGTAGTTCTCGCCCCTACCTCGAACACAGTTATATTTTATTTTATTTGTTTTTTTAAACATGATTACAAGTTGAAAACATTTCATTCTCGATATTTTTTTGTACAGTCATTATTTTAACAAACTTAGCTTCACTGTCTTCATTTTGGTACAGGTTATAATGGGAACCGTATATTTAAACAATTTTTCTCAGTTTTTGGTTTCAGAGTAGTGAGAGAGAGGCCCGGAATTATGTCGACAGCAAACATAGAGCTCGCAAACGAATGACTATATTTTTTTATCTATAATTACAAATTGGATCGGTTCTTATTATTCAATAAAATTTATTTTATACTTTGAACATTAACCCATTAACGCCTGAAAGCTCGAAAATTTCTGTTCATTTTTAAGCATCATTCTCATTCATAGAAAAGAGAAGAATTTATGGCAAAACAGTGTTTTCTACTAAAATCGGGTCTGCTCTTTCCGATTCCGCCATTAAAAATCGATTTATCCCAACCAGAAATATGGCCGATTTTTATCAGAACCATTTTACCAGAAAACACGTAAAAATAAATAAACGACTTTTTTTAAATAATTGTTTCGAATCGAAGCAGCATGTGAATTTAAATCTCGAGTCAACTAAGAGTGCATAAAATAGTTATACTTTCAAAACATTTTTTTTTCATCTGACGATATGGCGGTTAGAAAGCGAAAAAAATTGAAATATCGGGATTTATGAAATATTTCGATCTAATTCGCATAATTATTCCCTTTCAAACCGCTTGCAAAGATATATTTGTCATCGATGATAAACATTTATGCAAATTAATAATTATGACAAGGCAGATTCAAGATGGCGGTCATAAAAGGGATAAATTGTTGATTTTCAGACGTTTCTTCCGGATTTTCTCCAAAAAAAATTGCTTTTTTGTTCATTACCATGAACTAATAAAACTACAGGTTGATACGAATGAGCTTCTATGAATTTTGAGTTCTAGAGGTTATAGAGCGAGAGGTAATAGTAGATCATCATAACATGAATATGAAAGATAATTTTTTTTTTACGAGGAGAAAATCTATCACGGATATCTCAAACCCTCGGGGAAATGAAAGATAATAATGGTAATTGCTCGTTCATTAGCCATAAGCTTCTTACATTGCTCAATTCTTGCCGCGTGAAAGTGAACGATTAAGTCTTTTTTAATTTTTTTAATTTTTAACTTTTTAATTTTTTTTATTTAAAAAATTTTTTATTTTTCTTATTTTTTTATTTTGCACAATTTTTCCTTTTTCTGCAATTTTCTACAGTTTGATGAATTTTCAGAAGTTTGAAGCCTTTCATACATGCTTAGCAAAGCAAGGTTTGCAAAAATATAAGTCACAAGAGTTACAGAATTTTTTTTATTTATTTTGTTTAATTCCTTTTATTTTTAATTATTTTGCTGGTCCAAGCAGAATTTAAAATGTCACAGTTAAAACTTAAAATCTCGCTTTTTTGCATGTGCTAGCGAATTGTCTACGATAGATAGAATTTGCAGCAATATTTTGGCTGATTCTTGCCTCAACACTAGAATTTCTAAATATGAGAAAGTTTCATGAATGCTGTGTAAATAATATGTCAGTATCTCACTTCTTCTGTCAAAATTTTCAATCAATAAATCTGTTTTAGAAATTTTTTAATTTTAGAAAGTTTGAATTTTAGAAATTCTTTTACCTCACGCTATAATTTTTCACAAACTACCTTAAAGAATCAAAGTTTATGAAAACTGATTTATATCTAGATATTGTTCTGTGTATTTATGATATTGAGAAAAAAAACAATTTTTTGGAGAAAATCCGGAAAAAAACGTCTAAAAATCAACAATTTATCTCTTTTATGGCCGCCATCTTGAATCTGCCATATCGTAATTATTGATTTGCATAAAAGTTTATCATCGATGACAAATATATTGTTGCAAGAGGTTGGAAAGAAAATAATTATGCGAATTAAATCGAAATATTTAAGAAATCCCAATTTCAATATTTTTCTCTTTCTAACCGTCATTTTGAAACCGCCATGTCGTCAGATGAAAACAAAAAAAATACGTTTTGAAAGTATAACTATTTTATGCACTCTTAGTTGACTCGAGATTTAAATTCGCATGCTGCTTCGATTCGAAAAAATTATTTGGAAAAATCGTTCATTTATTTTTTGGTGTTCTTTTGGATAAAAATCAGCCATATTTTTTTTTTATTGAGATAAATCGATTTTTAATGGCGGAATCGGAAAGAGCAGACCCGATTTTAGTAGAAAACACTGTTTTGCCATAAATTCTTCTCTTTTCTATGAATGAGAACGAGGTTAAAAAATGAACAGAAATTTTCGAGCTTTCAGGTGTTAATGGGTTAATGAATACACTGTGGAAACTTCGTCTATTGATCTTACTGTTTCTGTTAAAAAAATTCGTAAAAATAGTCTTGAAAACGGCCTTCCGCATGTAATTCCCCTCTTAAACAATCTGGAGGAGACGAAAATCCTCGAAAATGTGCGAGAATTTCAAAGGTAGCAATCCGAGCATGCACTTGTGCGGACATTTCCGTCAATCGAGTGCAAGTGCAATTTTCGTGTTAGCAGTTCATCTAACCGAATTCCCGCGAATTTAAGAATGGATTCGCGTGGTCGAAAGGCGTCGGACGTTCACGAGGTCGTCGCGAGTGCGAGATTAATTCGCTAAATGGCTTCAATTATACTCAGGAGTTACCAGTGCAATACAATCTGTTGCGCTCGAAAAGACGTGCACTCTATTTGCAGAAGTAGATTAATTTCTCGCTTCCTACATAATGTTCTTTTTTTGCAGTATCTTTAAACGTTTTCATCAGACGTTCTAAATGATATCTAATTGCGCAATCATAAATTGATTTAAATATATACATATTTATGAGATATAAGAAGAACGATTCGACCGATATTCTCTGTTTGACGTCTCGTTATTTTTTTAATATTTCCTGAGACGTATCTTTTCACCACATCCACCACACACAATAAAAGGAACTATATTCATTATTATTGTATTCTAGAGTTTCGCACGTTCTTGTAACTTTGAATAAACGATTGCAAATCGCAATTATTGTCACGCATTGGTTAGTTGCAAGTTAACATTTCGCAAAATAGTCTATTATTTAACAGACCTCATATTTTCCTACCAAGTTAGATAAGTGCTTCGACCGCTATCCTTGAAGTGCTCGACTAATCATCGAATGCTATTTCAGGAAGATTACAAACCGCCGCTTATAAAACGAATACGAATGGCCGACTTTAAATCGCATTTTATAATATATAAATCACACGTTTGAAGAGAAAAAAAAAAGAGAGGGGAAGAGTTTCTTTTTCCTTAGATAATCGATCAGGTTGAGTAACATGTATGCATACATCAATATATAGGATGTCTCATTTTAAATGAGTCAGGCAAAAATCTCGAAAAATATGAAAAATATTAAGAAACGTTTCAGACAAGAATTGTACGGTTTCACATAAAACAACTATATCATTTTGTTTATAGATGGCGCTACTTTCGAATATCATCCTTTTCTACAGATTAATTTGAACAACTTTTGTCTGAAATATTTTTTATTTGCCTAATATTTTTTAAGATAATTTAAGCAAAATTTGATAACTTTTTCAATATTTAATTGCAATATCTCGCTAACTATTTGTCGGAAGAAAAAGTGGCTACTAAAAAACTAGACTTTTTTATTCTATTTGGTCTCAAGAATATATTGTTACGATAGTGCTCTGATTTTTATTAATTTGATGATTTTTTATTTCCAAAGTTGGCCGATATCCCGTTTAAAACCACATAACTTTTGTCTGAAACGTTTCTTAGTGTCTTTCATATTTTTCGAGATTTTTGCCTGGCCCATTTAAAATGGGACACCCTGTATATCCTGTATATTCCAGAACAGATGTAATATTTTAACGTGTAAATATTAATTCAGCACTATGACTGATCTTTGCGAAATTATTCGTCAGTAATCCTTTATCTTACGTGAGCATATCTTAATTATGAACATTATGCGAAACAGCTTTCCAATTTACCTAACTCGACGAACTACGTATACACAGAAACTAAAAAATTACTCGATCGTTGACGCGTTGATGCGCCTGCTTTCTACACTGTGCTTTGTTATTTACATAATTATATTTATATATTCAATCGTCGAAGAATTCGCCACTAAAACCTGACATGTTTCTATCGCGAAAAACATCTATCTCAAAGCAAAAATAATTTTATTTAAGCGGCGTTTGATGTAAAAGTGCAGTAAACTAACCAATATAAACTGATATCGCGAACGTCGTAGCGCTTACGGGCGCCATTTAAAATTCAATGCAGTTTACTCATTGTTTAAGTCAACAGGAAGACAAGAGTGCAGTAGGTGAACGAATATTTATGAATATAGAAGCTGCTAAAAGCAATTGACTTGTATGAGGAAAAAGTCCCTTAAAAAATTGGGACACGTTCGGAAAAGTAAAATTTAGTCGTGCAACAAGTTCTGTCCAACTTGTATGAAAAGAAAAAAAAAAAGGAAAAGAAAAAAGTCCTGAAAAATTGAAACAGCTCAGAATTAAAATTTAGTCGCGCAGCAATTTCTGTCGAACAAAAAATGCGTCGGGTCGGTCTTGCAACACGAAGAAGGAAATATCTCTCCCCCCTCTCTTTCTTACGTGTTCTTTCTTCTTAATTTGCAAAAGATGGGAGTAAATGCAAATTAGCTGACTTTGCGTTCTTTCGAGGAACGTGGCGCGTATTATGATAAACACCTCAGTGACCTATCTTCTTTTTTGATGCGACGAGATTCCGGTTACTTTCGCGCGTAGCCGAGCGCGCGCGTTCGCACATGCATAACTGTATCGCGATATGCGTACGCAATATTGACCGTGAACCACATACGACCGTCCCTTTTGCAAATCAGCCACGAGACGGTAATTCAATTCCGTCTCCGAATCGAGAATTGCTCAAGGACAAAGGTAAAAAAAAAAAAGAAAGGAAGAAATAAGTCATCCCTATTCGCACGCATTGTGTACGCGTTATTTACATTGACGTATTATCTCGCCGTTTCATTCTATTTTCGTCGCGCCTCGCGATAACGGGAACAGTGGGTGGGGTCGGCGGAATAAGAGGAATTCGCAAATCCGGGGGACAGGATGTTCCGTTGCGACGATGGACTTTGACTCGCTTGCATAAAACACGCACATTTTGTAACTTGTATGCACATTTCATTAAGCAGTCGCATTGACTTGCCGGCCAGGACAGCGCGATATGCAGGCGTATACAATTGTAATTTCCGTCCGAGCCCGATAGTGATCGATATCGCGAGAGTTGGCCGTATTTCTGCCTGAATCCCGTCCCGGTTTGTTATTTCGCCGGTATCACGATCACGAATGCCACGAGAGAAAACAACGGCGGGATTTCGATCGGGCCGACTAAATGTGTAATTCGATGCATTTCGGAGAAAAAGGACTCGTCTCGTTGCGGTCGTTAAACTCTCGCCCCGATATTTTCACGTTTATCCTCGTGAACGCCGCGGATTATCGTCGCGAGCGCAAGCGACTCGAAAGATGCGGTGAGAAAGAGGGGAAAAATAGATTTATACTCGTCGCTCGCATCTAAAAGAGCGAACGGCTATTTATCACCGAGTGTTTTGGCAATTTTCATAAATGGGCTGTACAAGTCCGAAGTTCTCTTGTTGTTTCTCACAGATCCTCTGCGATCCCCGGAGAGCTAAAATGAGCTTTCTCCTCTTCTCCCCTGCTCCTCTTCCTTTCTCCCTCCCCCTCTCTCTCTCTCTCTCTCTCTCTCTCTCCCTCTCTCTCTCTCTCTCTCTCTCTCTCTCTCTCTCTCTCTCTCTCTCTCTCCCCCTCCCTTTCTCAATAAAGAACATCGTGTTGTTGCCTGTCTGAACTGGGCCACTGCCGACTGCAGTTATTGACCGTCGACGAAACGAAACGCGGAGGCGGATTAATCGAAGACAAGCTTTCGCCGCGAGAAGACAATCGCGGTCAAATCGCCCAGAACCGTCGATTTTTTTACTCACTATCTCGCATTACAGATTTATTCGTCGTCTGTCGTCTTCACAAGGCCGAAGTCACTAGTGGCAGGCAGGACAGAGAGATCGATTCTTACAGCCGTTTTTTTTACCTTTCTATTTAATCATGGAAAAGACCCGACTGACAATCAATCCACCGTCGTAGGCGCTAATCGGACACGCCGGCGATAAGAGGAAAAACAAACCTCGTAGAATATCCACGAAGAGAAGAGGGTCTGTAGGAGATTGTACATTATGAGGATCCCCCGTAGGTCGAAAGGCTTTCTGTTTTCCATCAACTTCGGTCCCAGAACCTTGCTAAAGTAAGCGTACGACAGGCATATCATCACGGTTGGGAAGGGGCTGCTCATCATCGCCCAATCGTTCACCCTGGGATCTGGAAACGAACCAAGAGAGCGCAACGTTGAATAAGAAAGAGAAAAATCGATGAACCAAGCGAGACGATGCCGCAGGAAGTCGATGCGAAACGGTACTTCGGAAGGGGGGAGGGGGAGGGTGAGCGAAATTTTACAAAGAGCTGGATGGCGAAGGATCACGCGAAGCGAAATTCCACACTCGCAGAGAGAGAATCGATATTTTAACGCGATATGCACATGCGTATCGCATGCGCATGCATCGGAAATTAACATTAGAAGAATCGGACGTGCCAATTTGGCTCAAAGTATAGTTTTTCCTAAATAACAAATAGAAAGAAATGAAAAGTATAGGTAATTATAAAATCTAACGTTTGAACGATAATATCACTAATTTATTGAACAAAAAAGAAAACTGTTAGTTATATTATATCGAATTTCTTTTGGTCTTTGGAAAGACTAAACGTGAAATATAACGCCGTTATGTATTATAGGAAACGTATTTGTACATAATTTTCTTTAGGCATTTACCGCATACAAATTTTTCAATTTTGTGGTTTCTTGCAGTGTTTTTCTTATTTGACAAAATGTTTTGTCGTTTACCTGAAGCATCATCAGATGCAATTTCTTCCCCGATTGAATCAAAATTTTGAGACTTTCGTCTTTGAGCAATATATAGGGCACTCAACTCTTCTGCGAGATTCCGCGAGTAAAAAGATTTTTCTTGATGTTCTTTTACACGTAACTTCCTTATATCCATGCATTTGTAGCAACGAAATCCGAAATATTATGAAAAATATGAACTAGCCAACGGCGAGATGCTATATATACATATGTATGTGTACATATATATGTATATAATAGTTTTTCAAGCAAACAAATAGATAGATACATATAAAAATATTTATTTATCTATTTAAAGTTATAAAACTTGTAAATAAACCCGTAAAACATATGAGAGAATGCAATATTAGATATAAGGGAGCTAAATTGGCTCCAACAGTCCTTCTAGGTAAACAATTAAATAAAAATTCAACTATGTTATATAATTGAAAACATTTTTTACCAAAATTAAAAACATGAAAAATGGTGAAAAGTCACAAAAAGATATCACGTGGAGGCAAAGTTGAAAAAAGTTATAGCAGTTTGAATTTCGCAAGGAGTCAAATTGGCTGCCTCGGTCTTTCTAGTGTCAACGTATACGAGCGCACAATTTAGCGCTAATCTTTGCGTAATCTCGATACACGTCTGTAACAGATTCAAGGTACGAGTCTAAAAACGGCAAAAAACGGGATACATATAGATAAAATTTACATATATAAGTATAACCTACATACGCCATACCGTCTCTTTAAAGGACCCCGCCGCACGATTCCTTATGTAAATTGGATTTCGGTGGAATTGATACTGAATATTTGATATGTTGTAGATCTTGTCTCTCTGATAAAAAGTTCCCTTGGGCACAACCTCCAATAATTGACCATTTGACTTCTACGAGGCGTCAAATGTCAAAAGTGTCTAATATCACAGTTTCTTATTTTCCACGAGTAAGATGTATTCTTACTTTGATTTACATCTAAAAACTTTTTATCTGTATATATTTAAAAATAAAAAGCTATAAAGGTGACATTGACTTGAAGATGATGACTTGATTTCAGAGATTTCAGTAATACTTTCATTTTCTATGTGAAATACGTGTTTCAATGTACAATATATTGACAATTAAGTGTACCATTCGATTATGTTTCGCTTTCTGTTGAGAACACAAAGCACAACTTTTTTAATCAAACTATATTTTAAAGCGTAACAATTCAGAATATTTTTGACTCGTTAAAAATTTACTTTTTAATTACATGTAATGTCCAGCAGCTAATAATTCCATTGCTATTCGTTCGGATACGATACTTGACGGACTAGAAAAATCCACTATTCGATATTTTTCTCTCTTCGGAACGAAAATAAAGATGCAGTGATGCGATTCTTTAACTCGTTATTGGAGTTAACGACAGTTTCGTTATCGTTGCGCAGCTTTTCTACGGTATACAAAAGCTGCGCAACGATAACGAAAGTGTCGTTAACTCCAATAACGAGTTAAAGAATTGCGCCGCGGTACCGCGATTCTGTAAATCATTATTGGAGTTAACGACACTTTCGTTATCGTTGCGCAGCTTTTGTATACCGTAGAAAAGCTGCGCAACGATAACGAAACTGTCGTTAACTCCAATAACGAGTTAAAGAATCGCATCACTGCATCTTTATTTTCGTTCCGAAGAGAGAAAAATATCGAATAGTGGATTTTTCTAGTCCGTCAAGTATCGTATCCGAACGAATAGCAATGGAATTATTAGCTAGAAAAGCTGCGCAACAATAACGAAACTGTCGTTAACTCCAATAACGAGTTACAGAATCGCAGCACTGGTCCCGAACACACGGCGTCCCGTCGCTACCTAGTACGCCCTCCTTCTTTCATGGAAATTATCCCACTATTACACAATACCCGCACTTCCTCTATATTGAATATTTAGTATTGAATAAAATGGCAGATAGAAATCGAATGTCTTGTTTTATTTGTGATCGAGCTTTTCGTCCAAATCAATTAGCTCGATTAAATGGTGACGTTTTGCTCAACATTCTCTCCCTTCTTCCTTCTTTAATCCCTTGCTGCATAGTAATCCTCCCAGAGTACTACCTATCATCCAAGCTTGTTTTTCCAATAATTTAAATTTTTCACTATTTCTTTAGCATATTTGGTACTATTGGACTACTAAAATGTTCCTCCAACTAATACATCAACTTTTAAAGTCATTTCAAATAAGTAATTTGTTATTAATAAGTATATATTAAACAAAATTGTCGTTTTTAGAGAATAAATTCGTTTACATGAAATTTTAAATAATAACGTGTACTTCAAGATCATTATCTGGGGATTTTTGAGGTCGCTGAATATAAATCCGGTATGAAAAATATAAAATTCAACATGACGGCCTCTCATATGGCCAACATAATTATAGAAATGAAATACGCTAATCACATTTGAGAATCGGTGTTAATTGAACTTTGCCGTACATATCCGTTATGTCTACTCTGACATTTCGAATGTTCGATAACGAATTTGCAATTAGCAACCTCGAAAACCCTTAAGTAACAAATTTCATGCAAATTCGGTTGATTTTGAAAATTTCGTCCACCATAGTGGATCCGTCGTCATTTTGAATTTCGTATTTTTCACACCGGATTTGTATTCAGCAACCCTAAAAACACCCGAGTTTCACAAAATTATATTCATTCAGAAAAAAACATGCAACAAAGGGTTGACGAATAATATCACGGTACTCTTGTCTCAACAGCACCTCTGTTATATTCAAAACGAACCCCGCGACGATAAATGTGCCCCGAGTTCACGGGAATCTTGCTACGAAGCGTGACGATACGTTTGTTTTCTCGAGCAACCTAGAAAATGCGCCTTGGACAACCGCTCGCCGTTTTCTATCCACCCTCGACGGAGAGAATGGCGCGAGTGCGTGCACGAGGCACGAACGAGCGGTCGTCTTCCGGTAAATTACCCTCGCGCTCGTACGACCCGACCGATACGAGGACCGATACACGGGACCACTTTTTCTCCTCTCTTCTCTCGCTGTCTGCTTTTTTTCAACATTCTCAGCGAAACTCTTTTGCGGCTGTTGGTCGACACGATTGGTCAACGACTCGGTTACAAGCTGACGATGCGACGCGGCGCGGCGCGCCGTCGATATTCCCTGCGTCACACTTTATATGCCTCGATAAGTCGCGTTGTTACTCAACAAGACAATTTGACCGTTCAGCTTGCATACGTCGAAATGTAATTGAGCACAGATATATATTGCCTCTCTGACAAATCTGCCTTTCGTTCGTAATAAAACGAAACACACGAACTTTCTGGAATTTATTACACACACACATGTCGAAGACGCCAAAAAAAGAAAAAAAATTTCATCGCAAAGTTGTAATATCATCTTAAAATAAAATAGATATTTAAATAATTAAAGTAATTAAATTATTAATTATAAGTTAAGTTAATTACAAGTTAAGGGTTAAAACATACAGGCCCAGATGACCTGTTTTGTAGCTGATGCACACAAACGATAATGTTTGATTAATTTGATTCCTATTCGAATTATTCGGATTCGAATCGAATTGAATTACATTAGATTCGATTTGATTCGAATTCGAATAGTTCGCACATCTCTAGTACATATTAATCTATATGAAATATCGTATAAGATATGTACATTACATTACATATATTTAGTATTACAATATATTTAATACATATATTTAATGTACATAAAATATTTATATTACATTATTTATCGTTTCACGTCAATTCATAGACGGAAATTTTTCTCCAATGTTAGGACTGGAAATTTCCGAGATCAGATTTTCACACCGACAAAACTTTGCGTTAAACACTCAAAATATCTCGCCAATTATTGACAATTTGTTATTTATTATTCTGCGTATTCTATAGTCCGTAATTATAATTATTCACATTCCTGTGGAACCTCGCACTGATGTCATACGACGATGTCATAACGTCTGCAATTTCCAAATTTTTTAAGAACTCGCCTTTTTATGCTCTCTCAATTTTGGGACATTTTTATAATATTTGTTTTATATTTTCTCTTCGGCGTCAACGTGTTTTCGAATAATTCTCAACACGTAAATTAATTGGCTCGAATATGTTTTGTAAAAAAAAAAGGATATATGTTTATTAATGTTTATTAACAATCGGCGAAAATATTACTGGGATATTAAAAATATTACAGCAAACAAATTTTTTTTCTTTTTTTCGTTTGTCTAATGCGGTTATTCGGATTCAGTCGTCAGTGCATGCTAAGGACTCTCTTTCCGTTTTGCTCAATTATTCATGCACCATGCGCCATGATGCATGATACTGCGTATCGCAAGGCATCGGATATTGCACTGCGGCGTCTCGCGAGATATCGGAAGAGGAACACGACGACGAGTGACGTAACGTGAGAGAGGAGGGTCAAGGATTCCGAATGAAATCCTCTGAGAGAAATTAGAAACGGGACAGCGGAGTATTACGACACGATATTGACCCGCGCCACGTTCACGAAGGACGTGAAAATACGCGCGGTAAACAGACCCAAACCGAAAACTGTTGAAATTTCGGCTATAATACGCACGAGATACGCTCTCGTCGGGTGGAGGTTTTCGCATTAGCCCGTCCGTACTCGACTCTCGAATAAAAATTTGCACAGCAATTCGCCTGATCTCGGCGAAAATGCCAAGTTCACGCAAGGTGCGAGCTCACTCCTCCGGTGATCTTTCTTCTAGCTTTGTCCTTTCCTTCCTCCTCCGTTAACGTGAACAGAAATATACAGCGCGTTCGTGAGTCTCCGGCTTTGCAAACCTATTTAACTAACCAAGTACAAGCGGATGATCATTATGCTATTCGGTTCAATACGGCTCAACAAGTCCTTAGCGTACCTCCGATAAACTCACTTTTAGCACACGCTGAGATGACGCGCGTTTATTTTGCGTTATTATTATTTGCGTCCACTTTTTGGCGCGTTTTCGTCAATGATCCTCGCGAGAACTGGAGCTCGATATTCGGCACAAAAACCTTCAGCAGATCGATTTTAAGTCCCATCCAAGCCTCTACATTCGGTCAAGTAAGAGTGTGATCGGGTTAATTTATAAAAAAATTTATCAAATAAAATTTTTAAATATATATATGCATTGTACTCGATGAAAACAAGGATGCAATAATGTCAATAATGCGTCCAGTGACAGCGTATTGTAGCGGCAAGGACCACTAAATAATTAGATTGGCAGTCGTCTGATGCAAATCCATTGAAAATGTATAGGCATACATTAACCCTTTAAGGACCGAGTCAAATTCATGAAAAGGGCCTGAAGTCCCAAAAATTAAAATCTGTCATATTTCGCTGAAAATCTGTACATGAAGGGTTTTAGTGATGCTGAATATGAATGTCATATTAAATTCCCGAAATTTAAGATAGCACACCCAAACCTCCATTAAGTTAGCCCTCCCCCCCACAGCGAAAATAAAATATCTAATAGGTGCAAAATTAAGTGCTAATTAGGTGCTACAATCCCGAATTTGGTGCTCGCGCGGTTTGGCACAAAAAAAAATAATGGGGGGCTAGCTTAACGTTAACTTAGCCCCCCTCCCAAATAAGAAAAACGTACAACCAACACGTAAAATCGAAAACAAATTATGTTAAAATTAGGTGCTAATTAAGTGCTTCAAGAGACAATTTACGGATATTAAAAATATATCGCCGTTCAAAAGTTATAACAAAATAAATATGTCATCTCAACGACTGTCCAAGAGAGAATTTATATTATAAAATTAGATGCTCTCGTGGCTATGATATCAAATTACACGTCCCTTCACGCACTGTCGAGATACCCAAGCGCCGAATTAAGTGCGTGTCTCGTTTTGCAAAAATTCGCACTTAAACGTCGGCTGGTGATCCAGGTTACAAGAGAGAATCTGTCTTAAAAAATTAGGTGTTCTCACAATACTGGTCTCAAAACACTCGTTTTTTTATGCATTGCTTAGATATTCAAACGCCGAATTAGGTGCTCGTCCCGTTTTGCAAAAATTTGCACTTAAACGTCGGCTGGCGATACAGGTTACAAGAGAGAACCTATCTTAAAAAATTAGGTGCTCTCACGATATGGGTCTCAAAACACTCGTTTTTATGCATTGTTTAGATATTCGAATGTCGAATTAAGTGTTCGTCCCGTTTTGCAAAAATTCGCACTTAAACGTCGGCTGGCGATACAGGTTACGAGAGAGAACCTGTCTTAAAAAATTAAGTGCTTTCACGATATGGGTCTCAAAACACTCGTTTTTTTATGCATTGTTTAGATATCCAAACGCCGAATTAGGTGCTCATTTTTGACATATGTAATATTTCTTTAGTACATATGATTTATAATGAAATATATATATAAGTTGAATAATTTTAATAATTACCCAATCCAGTCGATTATGATTAGGAAAACATTTTTTAACAAAAATTGTCCAATTCCACGGAAGAAATAAAAACTTAATAGAAACATTTTTTCAAAAATGATAAGCAACTGGAATAAATAGTGTCAAAATGGCCCACGCATATATGGAAAAGCAATGGTTTTAAAAATAAATAGACATTACATAACAGGCAATATAATAAATAATAATAATTTTATAATATAAGTTCTCTCTTGGATAGTCATCCCTGAGATGATATACTTTTTATGTTATAACTTTTGATTGGCGTTATATTTTTAATATCTCATAATTGTTTCTTGGCGCACTTAATTTGCACCTAATTTTGACATAATTGGTTTTCGGTTTTACGTGTTGGTTAAAGGTTTGTTTCATTTGGGGGCGGCTGAGTTAACATTAAGCTAGCCCCCCCCATTATTTTATTTTTTTCTGCCGAACTACACGAGCACCAAATTCAACATTTAGATATCTCGACAAGGCATCAAAAGACGAGTGTTTTGAGACTAATATCGTGAGAACACCTAATTTTTTAAGACAGGTTCTCGCTTGTGACCTGCATGGCCTGCTGACGTTTAAGTGCGAATTTTTGCAAAACGGGACGAGCACCTAATTCGGCGTTTGGATATCTAAACAATACATAAAAAACGAGTGTTTTGAGACCAGTATTGTGAGAACACCTAATTTTTTAAGACAGGTTCTCTCTTGTAACCTGTATCGCTAGCCGACGTTTAAGTGCGAATTTTTGTAAAACGGGACGAGCACCTAATTCGGCGTTTGGATATCTAAGTAATGCATAAAAAACGAGTGTTTTGAAACCAGTATTGTGAGAACACCTAATTTTTTAAGACAGATTTTCTCTTGTAACCTGGATCGCCAGCCGACGTTTAAGTGCGAATTTCTGTAAAACGGGACGAGCACCTAATTCTGCGTTTGAATATCTAAATAATGCATAAAAAAACGAATGTTTTGAGACCCATATCGTGAGAGCATCTAATTTTTTAAGACAGGTCCTCTCTTGTCACCTGCATGGCCCGCCGATGTTTAAGTGCGAATTTTTGCAAAATGGGACGAGTACTTAATTCGGCGCTTGGGTATCTCGACAGTGCGTGAAGAGACGTTTAATTTGATACCATAGCCACGAGAGCACCTAATTTTATAATATAAATTCTCTCTTGAACAGTCATCGTTGAGATGACATATTTATTTTGTTATAACTTTTGAACGGCGATATATTTTTAATATCCGTAAATTGTCTCTTGAAGCACTTAATTAGCACCTAATTTTAACATAATTTGTTTTCGATTTTACGTGTTGGTTGTACGTTTTTCTTATTTGGGGGGGGGGCTAAGTTAACGTTAAGCTAGCTCCCCATTATTTTTTTTTGTGCCAAACCGCGCGAGCACCAAATTCGGGATTGTAGCACCTAATTAGCACTTAATTTTGCACCTATTAGATATTTTATTTTCGCTGTGGGGGGGAGGACTAACTTAATGGAGGTCATATCCAATATGGCGGATCAATCATGATAATTCCCGTATTTTCGAGAAGAATAAATTCACTCGAACTCCACGTTCAGGTTTTCTAAGTGCCGACTGCAAATTATTCGCAAATGGCATCCAAAAACAAGTTCGAAATATATGCAAAAATTGCAAGGTCGCATTATATATAAAGATACATGTTTCGATAAGTACCATGAACTGTAGAAAAATAGTGGAAAAATTCGATAATTGAACAGGAGAGAAAAAAGATGGAGGCATGAGAAAGGAGATGATAAAAGACATTGAAGAATGAAAAATAACGAAAAAATTATGAAAAATGAAAAGAAAATGAAAATTATGAAAAATGAAAAAAAAAGCAAAAAATTAAAAAAGCACAAAAAAATAAAAAAACAAAACAAAAACGAAAAAGTGGGATGTTAAATCCAATTGTCAACCTTCTCGAATCCACAAAATACTTGTAGGTGATGCATTTTTAACCTGGGGAGTACATTTTTAACAAATGTATTCGCGAATGTCAAGGATAAGAATTTTTTGCATATATATAATCCGTCATATTCACCAATGTCAATTTCTGAATTATAATGAAACATTCACATTTAGCACCCCTGAAAATCTCTATAAAAGTAATAGCAAGATCATACATATATTCTTTCACATTTTCAATGGGATTTGCATCGGGCGACTGTCAATCCAATTATTTGGAGGTCCTTGCTGCTACAATACGCCGTCACTGGACGCATTATTGACATCATTGCATCCTTGTTCTCATCGAGTACAATGCATATATGTATTTAAAAATTTTATTTAATAAATTTTTTTATAAATTAACCCGACCACGCTGCTCTTACTTGACCGACGGTATGTCCGTGAGAATATACGAGTACGTAATTAACTCAGAAAATACGAATAACATATCGGGCATCATTCGATCAAGTTCGAAAGTTACGTCGGTATATAATCGTGACGATGAGACTGTTATTTAAGTTGGTTAAGAGGTATTTTTGTCATTTAAGGGATAGTAGTTTTTAAACTAGCTGAGTAATTCTGTCTTTAAATGGCAAGAAACAAACAGAGCACACTTGCCGTCGCGGATCAAAGACTAAACTATTATATCTACGTCAAGCGGTTGTGACGCGCGATCGTGACCGGCACTTTTTCCCCGGAGATGACCAATTGGACCAATGGAATGTTGAATAAACGCGCAGTAAATAAAACGAATTGTGAGAACACGGCAACGCACGCACGTTAGCAGCGACATTTTTGTCGCGAGCAAGCTCGAGTCTTTTCATATTATTCTCATACCGTCAATCCGTTAACTTTTACGAACTAACGGGGGATAAAATTTTCCAGCTGCTAGAGATCGGCGATGCTTCAAGGAAGACGAGGGAGAACGCAGGGGGGAGGGGGAAGTATGCCGCACAGCTATGCGTAACACACCGCAAAATATAAATCAGACTTACCGGACTGATTGTCCATAAGGTCCCTGTAACTATGCATCAGGTTCGTCACTACGCTCGTCATCTTGGATAAGACTCCTGAAAGCAGAAGAGAGCAAGAATCACTTCCTGTTCGGTCGCCTGGAAAAACGCAGGAGAGAAGATCCGCTCGTTACTATATAACGGAATGCGACGCATTAACAGTGTAATAAATGTCAGATGATAGCCGGATCGCGACGCGCGCGAATTTGTGCGTTTGTGCGGGAAACCGGCTTTCCTTCTATCGCGCGCACACGAGAGCCCTCCTTGTTGCGAAATCTCCAAATACGCGGAAGAAAATAGGCCCGAGCCGTGAGACTGCAAATTTTAATGATACCTTCACGGCTGTGTGTAGTGAAACGTGTGTCAACGTTCACACCGCGGCGAGAAATGACATTTCCGCGATGTTTGCCGGAATCATTTGTTCCCGTTTCGTTAAACACCGTACGGACGCGCCGAGCTGAGCTGGACAGGTGTGAGCCGATTTTGCAGCGCGCGAGGAGGAAGCACGAATTTGGCGAATTGTCGCAAAATACCTTCACGCTGCGCATTGCGCGTCGAATACGAGCGAGAAGGCGACCGTCCCGCTAGAACTTTTCCCGCCGAGAACGCAATGTCCGGCGAAAGCCACGTGTGTGTGTGTGTGTGTGTGTGTGTATGCCCGTCTATAAATAGAATGCGATTATCCGACTTTTAATCTGGAGCACAATGTATCGCGGCGGCACAAGGGCGCAAGTGCGAATAATAAGGTGTTTTAACGAGATTGGCTACATTTCGACGGAGTTCATCTCACGCGGGCTTCGTTCGCGCCTCGTCCTAATTGTGCGCGTCGAGTGTTGCGGAATGTGCTACTCGTTACTAGGTCGAAATAACGGTAACTCGCAGAATGTGTCCGAGGTTCACATTTCGGGTCTTTAACGACGACGACGACGACGACGACGACGACGACGACGACGACGACGACGACGACGACGACGACGACGACGACGGACGACGACGACGACGACGACGACGACGACGACGACGACGACGACGACGACGACGACGACGACGGACGACGACGACGACGACGACGACGACCGACGACGACGACCGACGACGACGACGACGACGACGACGACGACGACGACGACGACGGACGACGACGACGACGACGACGACGACGACGACGACGATGACGACGACGACGATGCCGCCGTCGACGACAACGACGACACTGCCATTGACACACTGGACTCTAATCTTACAATCGGTGTAAAGGCGGCCGTGGAGAGCATAGCCGACCTTACGTGGGTGTATTTACGCGCTCGATTGCGTTAAAGTGAGCACGGACGTACGTACGGTCGTACTCGTGGTTAATTCATATTTGATAAGTGTACTTAGGGCGTGCATAGCGAATCGGGCGACATACGGTACTCGTTTAAGTGGTGTAAAGACCGCAACGAGAAAAGCCTTATTTCCCGCGTGGAGCGTCGTCGAATGAGAATTGTTCGTCTGCACGTGACGTCGTCGTCGTCGTCGTCGTCGACAGATTTTCGCGTATCTAACGGACGTTGGATGGATCGCTCGCGTAATCTCTAATCGGAGTCCCACGCCGTCTGTAATCAACGAGCGCTACTCTGATGAAAATTTCGCATGCTCCGACATTTTCTTTCGCAAAAAGGGAGCGCTAGGTGACTGAAGTTTCTAAATTACAGGGGACTGATTGATGAATAGCTTTTAAATGGGAATTGACTTACACAGAGAGACAAATAAGGTTTTATTCTTTACTTGACTTTGAGAACTTGGCCGCTTTAACGGACGGAGTAATTAATATTACTCTCTATCGTTTCATTCAATTTATTTAGAAAGGGCGCGTTTATTATTCCGAACCTTTGCGGACTTTTCCTCTCTCTCTCTCTCTCTCTCTCTCTCTCTCTCTCTCTCTCTCTCTCTCTCTCTCTCTCTCTCTCCCTCTCTATATATATATTAAAAAATTCCTTTTTCCAAATTTCTGAGCCCTCTTCTGAGCTTTCTTTTCAGGATATATTCAATACATGGCCGTTGAAAAATTGAGAAAAAATAATACCAGTCGTGTAAGACCGGCACACGTCCATGCAATGTCGGAATCCAGTTGCAACTTCCTACGTAAGTTACTCTCTCGTTCTCTCGATATGGATAGCTTCCTCAGCCGATTACGCATATTATTACGTAAATACGTATAAGTGTCGGCGACGGCACTTCGAACTAAGAAGGAAGAAAGGAAAAAGAAGCAACACGAGAGACCACAGTACGAGGGACTGCCACCTTCAGCGTGTTGAAGCAAAAGTCGGTCGCGAGAAAGTCACAAAACACACGATTACGACGACGTCAGAATCAATTGCACCAGAGCTAGATAACGTAATCGTCAGACAAGCAGAAAGAGGAAAAAAAGATAATGCAACAATGCTGCCACATTATAATTTTATTAACTAGAACTCATATGTTTTTATGGTATTCTTTAGTAATCATCCACAACGGTCTCTTTAATGATCGTCCATAAATAATATACATACCTAAAAAAAAAAAAAAAAAAAAAAAAAAAAAAAAAAAAAAAGATTATACAATAAAATTTAACATTTATGTAAAGCTATTTTACGCGTTAGAATGTAATTAGTCCATCTTAGATATTACATGCAGAAAGATATTTTGTCGCAGTAAAATATTTTTCTGCGTATAATATCTAAGGTAGACTAATTACACGCAGAGAAAAATATTCTATTGCGACAATTAGACATTTTCTGTTCTGTGAGGTTCAGTTGCGGTAGCAGAAAATTCTATTTCGCCAACTGAAGAACTATTCACACGCCAACAATTGCTTTCGATTGAAGGAACAGAAATTTTCGGTCGCGAAAATATAGTGACCACAGCAGAGTACTCGGCTACTCTTACAGAAGGCAGGGAACTATATCGTATGTGCAAAGAGAAACGAAATCTCTGTTACTGCGACTGAAAAGATTTGTTTAAAAAAATTAAATAACGCTGCCATAATCTTGAACCCGTTTGTGCGTTTGTTTCCTCCATTTAAGTACACGGGAACACTTTGTTTTATCCATATAAAGACAGTCGATAATATGAACTATAGGTTGCGATGAATGAAACTTGTATCCTTGACAATTTAATGTTCGGCTAAAGTGACAGAATACATTGTTAAGACAACAGAAACCTTCCAACGGAATTTTTCTGCTGTTACAACTGAATTTTCGGTTGACTTCTGAGGAGCCGAAAGTTTCGGTTGTCTTAATTGGAATTTAGTTGTATCAACTGAATAGTTTTCCACATATTATGTGATACGTGCGATATGTTAAAATAGATCTAATAGCATTTACTGCTAATATAGGTCAGTTAAAAAATTATTATAAGTCAATTAAAATATAAGTCATTTTAAATGCATCACGATTGTTATATCAGTGATCAAACAAAAAATGTGCGGCATCAAGATTCCTATTCTTTGCAGTTTTGTATAATGATGCCAGAAGCAGAGAATCTCTGCTAAAAATCCCCACTGATTAAATAAATAGGAATATATATTCATAAAGTAGTATTTGCAACCAGTTGAGCATTCTAAATTGTTTCGGAAACTTTGTTCTTATCGAAATAAATAACGTATAAATAGACGAAAAGTCAATGTGACAAAATTATGAGAAAATTATGAGAAACGGAAAAAAAAATTTTTTTACGCATATCGTGTTAATTTAACGGTTATTTATTGATTGTTTGGGCGAGAAAAAAGTTTTCGGAGAATTTAAAAAATATATTCGATCGATTGCAAGTGTCTTTTTATAGATGTGTCTTTTTACTTCGATCCGTACGAGTTTTCAGTGTGGACTTTCTCATTTTTGACGCCATCAACCAAGAGTTCCGTGGCGAAGGACCAGCAGTCTTAAAATCACTGTATAGATTATAGAAGCTGCTCTGTATAGAGATAACAATCACGAGCGATGACATTCACGAGAAAGCGATAAGCGACATCTGATGATGATGCGTATTGTACGAAGAAACGAAAAAAAGGTGATTTAATAAACTTTTTCAAGGGCGCTTGTTTGTAGAAGTGATACGAATGAACGCAAAATTCGAGCAACTTCGCAATTTTCTATATTAAAATAGTCTTTAAAATAGCATGTCCTTCAATTTCATGCAGGTAGATAGGGTTAGAGTATCAATACGTAGACTTATCTAAATATATGTAAGACAAAAGTGAAAATTATTCCGGTGATATGCGAAATGAGTAGGCGAAATCAGTAAAATAATCGCGCTAATCACAAGTTACTTGTATTGCGAGTATATTTTCTTTAGGAAAAAATTTTTTTTTTCGAAAATCGGTCAGTTTCTTTAGAGTTCTTTAGAGAGTATTTGAATCGATTCGAGCGGAAATGAAAGAATTCTAGCTCATCAAAGTATCGCCGATGTCGAATTTTCTAAGTCCAATTAAGAAAAAATTTTTTTTCGAAAATGGGTCAGTTTCTTTAGAGTTCTGGCGGCTTCCCGAAGAGTTCTATCGATTTTCCTTATGACTTGAACCGATTCGAGCAAAAATGAAAGAGTTCTAGCTCATCAAAGTATCGTCGATGTCGAATTTTCTAAGTCCAATTAGGAGAAAATTTTCTTTCGAAAATCGATCAATTCCTTTAGAGACCCTTCTGGTGGCCCCTCGAAGAGTTCTATCGATTTTCCTTATGACTTGAACCGATTTGAGCAGAAATGAAAGAGTTCTAGCTCATCAAAGTATCGTCAATATCGTATTTTCTAAGTCCAATTAAGAGAAAATTTTCTTTCGATCAATTCCTTTAGAGACCCTTCTGGTCGCCCCTCGAAGAGTTCTATCGATTTTTCTTATGACTTGAACCGATTCGAGCAGAAATGAAAGAGTTCTAGCTCATCAAAGTATCGTCAATGTCGTATTTTCTAAGTCCAATTAAGAGAAAATTTTTTTTTGAAAATCGGTCAGTTTCTTTAGAGTTCTGGTGGCCCCCCGAAGAGTTCTATCAATTTTCCTTATGACTTGAATCGATTCGAGCGGAAATGAAAGAGTTCTACCTCGC